ACAAACAAAAGAGAAAAATTGATCATTTAAAAATCATTTTTTCACTTTTGTTTTTTTGTTTTTTTTTTGGAATAAGAACTAAATAATAAATCGAATAATTAATAATTATAAAAAAAAAAGGTAATAAATTTAGTTAAGTGAAAATATAGTTGGAAAAATTTTTAGTAATTTATTTATCAATGGTATGCCATTTTTTTTTTTTTTTGGAATAAGAACTAAATAATAAATCGAATAATTAATAATTATAAAAAGAAAAAAAGGTAATAAATTTAGTTAAGTGAAAATATAGTTGGAAAAATTTTTTAGAAATTTAATTATTATCATGCAAATAGTAGAAGAATAAAAAAATTTTTTGATAGAAATTATAATAAAATTTGTTAAAGATAATGAAAAATTTGAAAATTTTATATAACATATTTTATTTATGTTAAAAATGATTCATTTTTAATATTTGCCACAAAAAAAACTGAGAAAATTTTCGAATAATTTGTAGTAAAAAAAAAAATAATAATAATAATTTTGATAATTTATTTGATAATAAAATATGAAATTATTAGATATTATTTGGTTTGCATAGAAATTGATTAAATTATTTTCGATTAAAATAAATTACTTTAAATTAATGAAGTAAATGCAAAAAATATTTAAATTATTTTTAATTTAATACAAAATAATTTATTATTTTACTTTTTTTTCTGGAGAAGTAAGAAGATAAAATTGATAGTGAATTATTGGAAAAAAGAACCAGATTTATTGCACTCACAACTTGTTCGTTATTTAATTTTTCTTTTTTCTTTCCTTAAACCATAAATTATTCTGTAATTATCATTATCATTATTATCAACTTGTTATCATTATTATTTATTTTGATCACAAAAAATATCAGTATTAAGAAACAAAATTAAAATTATTCTTGCAATTAAACAAAATATAATAAAGTATTGTAATTGTTTTTTAATTGATAAATTTAGTAAATAATTATAAAATATTGATAAAGATGATAATTTCTAATAATTTTGTATCTTTTTTTATAAAAAAAAATTTTTGTTTATTATATGTTTATTTAATCATTTATTTATTACAATTGTTTATTTTGTTTACTGGTTTATTTATTTATTTTTTTTAAAAAATAGATCTTAGTAATTAAGCATTTAAATTATGTAGAATTTCATGTAGAATATTATATTTAAATGGGAGAAAAAAAATTAATAGTTTATTTAAATTGAAGAGAGAGAGAGAATGGAGAAGAATGAATGAAAGTATGTAGGTGTAAAGTATGAAAAGGTTAGTTTAATTTTGTTGAAGAAGAAGGAGAAGAAGGAGATGAATTTGGTAATTTTCTACTTAAATGGTGAATAAACTATTTTCATTTTATAACAACAAATTTACAGCTTAAAGATGATAATGTTCCATTTAAAGGTTCGAAAATATGACATTCGTTTTGGTTAATTACAGTACTTAAATATTTGATGAAATTTTTTGGTTTGATAAAAAATATAAATTATATTTAAATATAATTTCAAAACATTGTTCAAAATTTTGTCATATATTTTATTCAAAATTTAAACTATTATTATTATCGATTATAATGATTAATTAATATTCATGATATGTTTTTAATTTTGAATTGGTAATATAATCTGTAATTAATTTTTGTATTCAAATAAAACTTTTTAATTCTTAGACAGCACTTTTTTTTTTTTGTTCCTATTGGATTTGTTTGAAATAATTGTTAAGGAAGTGATTAAAATAGTTATAAAAATGATAGCTAATCATTATAGCAGTTACTGATAACACTATCAATATCATTAGCATATCAATATTTTCCTCAAAATATTTATTAACAATTTTATCAAATTATTTTGCTTGAAAAAAAAAACTTAACCTATGACCTTTTTTATCAATGTTATTATTTCTGCTAGTACAATTTTACATAATTATTAACTTTTTCTTCACAAATAATTTATTCATACTTTTTGAAATTATTTTAAATTTTATAATTTATTGATTGGCGGATATCAAAATGAAAAAACAGACAATTTGTTCGACTTTTTTTTCCATTTTTTTTATAAAAAAAAAAAATGGAAAATAATCGGATTAAATACTATTTATGTTGCCGATGATACCGTATGACAACAAAACAACATGCAACCTAAGCAGATGTACAACAATGTTAGCTTTTTTTTCCTTTCTTTCCTCCTAATTTTTTCTTTTTTTTTTTTTTTTTCTAATTTAAAAAAAATGATTGTTATTTGATGAAAGTTATTGAATTGATTTATTTCAATGCTATAAATCTTTTATCTTTGTTAACATTTGCAAATAAAAACAAAATTTATTCACAAATTATCAGTTTTTCGTTTTGTTTATTTGTTTTTTTGTTTGTTTTTTTATTTTTTGATTTTGAAATTATAAAACAATAAAAACAATTATTTAATTTTTTTCAAGTCAATTTGCATTTAAATTATATATCGTTGTATTTATTGATTATAAAGTTGATTATAAATGTATCAGAATTAGTTTAATTCGCATACATTTATGACCGTACTATTCAATTTGAGCTTTTAACAGAATAACATTAACGGTGAATTTTAAAATTGAAAATATTAAACTGTTAGTACATAGATGTGTGAGAAGCATTTATTATTATTATTATTATTTATTATATTATAATAATAGGAGTATCTGTTATTATCATTATTATTATTATTATTATTATTATTATTATTATTATGATTATTATTATTATTATGATTATTATTATTATTATTATTATTATTATTATTATTATTATTATTATTATTATTATTAACTATCACTATTATTATTAGTTGATTTTATTATTATTTGTCATTATCATTATCATGTACTATTATTTAATATTATTGTTTTTTTTTTTCTTTAAATATTATTATAACTATTACTATTATTATTAATACCTGTTAATACGGCAAAAAAACAAAATATGGCAACGAATGTAAATGAGTAAAATTATTATTATTATATTAAGATCGTCAAAATGCTATTATTATTAAGATTATAAATCTATTATCACTATTATTATTATTATTATTAAGATTATGAATTAATATCTAAGATGAAGATAGAAAGATTATGAGCGTAAATAAATAAATGTAATATGAAAGAAAAAAAAAAGCAAAAAAAAAAAAGGAACAGATGAAAATTATCAATTAGAATTGTAATTAAAAACTTATTAAACAATCATAATTAAATAAAATATAGAAGAATGATAATATTACATTACAATATTAATTCTGATAACAACCAAGTATCTATCAATAAATAATAATTAATAAAAGTAGTGAAGGATGGAATTCTCACACCTTTATTGAATTTGTCATAAAAAAACAAACAAAAAAATTGGCATAATGAAAAGGTAGCAGTGATAATAGTAGTTACAAGTATTATAGTAATATATAAATGTATATTGTACAGACACATACATACACATACATCAACATACGTAGATAGAAATACATAATAATTATTCGAAGATATAATTTGATGGAAATTTTTTAAAAAAGGTAGAAATATGATAGTTAATAAAATGAGAATCGGAAGAGATTCGGAAGACTTATATAGTGTATTAAAAAAAAAAAATATAATCAAATTTCTCAATATGGACATTTTCCTTATCTTTTCTTTTTTTTTTTTTTTTTTTTTGGAAAAATTAAAAGCTTTATTAGATGAAGTGGATAAAGAATTAAAAGATAAAATTAAATGAACAATTAAAATCCATTCTATTCCTTTCATTTAAGCATATGTTAATCTTGAAGTTTACTAGTTTTGATTTTATCGAGTGAAAAATTTTGTCTTTTTTCTTGGCAGAAAAAAAAAATACTTAAATTTTTATTCGGATAGCAATTACATACATAATTTATGCACTGTGATAATAAAGATATGAAAATTTAAATTTTGAAATTTAGATTCTGATATCATGTAGAACGATTGCAACTAATTGAATTCGTAGAAATTACATTTTCACATGAAACCAATTTCACGTTCCCCGATAGACTCATTGATATCATATTAAGAGCTTATAGATTACTAAAGTAAATTTAGAAAAGCCAAGAATTTATTTGTAAAATTCGACAATTATTGATCTAATGAGAAGGCTATGATAAAAGACATCAGAATGATGATGATGATATTGCCACAACTGGTGATTAGTAGTAAAATGCACTAGATGGCAGCATTTAAATTGCAGTTTCTCGATTGCTCTTCTATTTGACAGCAAAATGATCTGCATAAGAAATTTATTAGTGTAAATAAAAGAAATCCGGCTCTAATCTTTTAGACCGGTAATTGACATATACAATAATTATAAGTAAAAAAAAAAAGAAAAAAAAAAGAACATAAGATAATGTATTCTTTCAAGTAACTAAATAATGAAACTTGAAGGGTATTTAAAATATAAAGATGATTTGAATGAAAAAAAAAATCACAAAATACACAAGTGTATCAGATAAAAATCTTATTCAGATTGGATACAACGAGATTCATAAAAACTACAACTAGAAAGAACTAAATAATACCTAATCACAAAGTTTTAGTAAATAACAAAATAATGAAATGAAATGATACCTTATCACAAAGTTTTTGTAAATATCAAAATAATGAAATAAAGTGACACACACATATATGATTCCTACAATTTCATGTCTTCAAAAATTGAAATAAAACAAGATAAAGAAGAATTGTCCATTAAAACGCTTATTTATAATCCAACTAAATAGACAAAAATTTTTCAAACATAACATAACTGCTGGTAATTCAAAAAAGCCTAAAACAGTTTGTACCCTCTTTGGTATAACCAATTTGGTAGCAGTCTTCAGCTTAAATCCATAACATTTCAATTAGTTCACAATTAAAGCGGAAAAAAAAAACACAAAATAAGTAAAATAAATACAAATATCAAATATTTGAAATAGGAAACTATTTAAAGTAGTACAATTGCTTGCCAAGAAATATTTCAAGGGAAATTATTCATCAAAAAACGCTAACTGAAAACCATCCACCTGCGGTTCCTTACGCTGCCACATACCCAATCCATTTTCATGCAATTGCAAATGGAATGTTTGCAATGCCTGCTGATATACCACTTCGCTTTGTTTAGCTTCTGAACAACTCCAAATAGGCTTATATGCATCTGCTTTAATTGCTGCCACTACACGTGCCCAACTTTCGTACAATTCTGATTTACAAAGACGTGACGGGGAACCAGTTACTGTACGACCGGTAAATGGATCCAAACGTTCAATGGTTCCTAAGCAAAATAAATTTGACTGAAGAAATAAATGTACAATTTGAGATAAAAAAAAAAAACTTTACCTTCTTTTGCAATATAAATGATATTCACAGAACTTAACTCGACGAATTCAGTTAATATCTGTTAAACAATAAAAATTGATGCATATAGTGCACTATCATCAGTATAGCTTCGTGCCTATTTCAATCAGAAGCTTAATGCTAGTCAAAAAGAATAATTATAATGGAAAGCAAATATGTTATAAGAAAAGTAAATATAGCATACAACAGGAAATAAATTGTTGAAAAAAATTTAACTGAAGATACCTATTCCGGAAACCCAATTATGGTACATTTCTCCGTGAGGTACTACACCGTTTTGAGAAGATTTCACGATTAGTTCACCTCGTCGCACATCACTAAATCGAAGAAGCACAGCGTGTGCAATGGCTTTATCATTGGAAGGTACACCAATACAAAGATGTGTGATGAATAGCGGTTCCAAAAGATGTGAAAGAAGTGCTCCTTGTAATCCTGAAATACACAAGTTATGCATAATAATAATTAAGACTATGTTTTGAACAATATAGCTTTTGAACTTAGATTTCCATCCGTGAATATGAATAGAAACATTATCAAATTTCAATTATTATGCAACAGACTTATCCAAAATTTCAAAGTTAAAAGTAACTGACAAAAACTTTCATTTCGATAAATTTCATTTCAATGCCGAATCCCTAAATGCTATTAATGAAAAAATTATTAAGCATAAAAATTGAACATAAAAATTTGGAAAATTAAGTTAATTGAGATTTAATGGAATATTACTATGTTACTATCACATTTATTCATAGCTGTTATTAAGCCAATCGTAATAAAACTTGAAATAAACCTAAATAATTCCATTTCAACATCTTATCAGCCAAGCTCATTACATAAACATGTCCGGAAGTTCCGATATCACCGAAAGTTTGCGGAATTTCCGGAGGATCCTCCAATCGAGCTCCTCCCATGTAGCATGATAACTTTTGTGTTTCACCGCTACTGCGTAGATTTGGTGGGAACGATGCATATAGCACAATTTGATAACCAGTCTAGAAAGTATGCATAATTGTTCGTGGGGAAAAAATGACAAAGAAAACAAATTCAATAAAAAAAAGAAAAAAAAATTCAACACAGGACAAACTAATGCCGTCTAATATTGCCAAATATATGTATTTTAGGGCACTGTTAAAATATATAAGAAAATGTGAAACCTTGAGACGGAATTTATTTGATGTTGGAGAGCGTTCGACAACACTGTTTTCTGCATCATGATTTTTTATTTGGCCATGCAAAAAGAGAACAAACGCACGACGTGCTAAGACCGTACCTAGGAAATTTTCTTACGATAATAAAAGATGAAAAATCTCTACTTTTATTCAGAGTTTTCAAATCGACAAAATTTCATCTGAAAATTGGAAATTCAATTTATTTACACCAAATTTAAAAGGAACTAAATCAAGTTATACAAAATTCAATCAAAAAATTTTTACTTTGCATGTGAATAAGTACATTGCCATGCGCATCTTTCAAAATTTGACCATCAATAACAGCATTACGACCTGCTCCAATTGCAACTAATTGTTTTTCACCATTTGGTGCAATTAGAACAAAACTGAAACTAAGTACTTTAACATAACCTATAAGAATTCATCTAGAATGAGGATATATCTCAGGTTAACTTGAAAAAACTATTTTTCAGACTAACTTTGAATATAAATAAACTTACGCAGAAATATGAGTGGTTATAGGACATGCTTGCTGATGGCATACTCCTTCATACTCCTGGCGAACAAAAGTGCAAATCTCGGTACAAAAAAGCACATCATTTTCATTCCTCGATTTTTTCATTGATATCATTTCAAGCGCATTTTCAGCGTAGAGGTCGAACTAGAAATGCTGATCATTAGAGATCGAAATAAACAAAAAAAAAAAAAAAAAAAAAAAAAAGAACATTTTTTATCAACAAAAATTGTTTTGCAAATTCCACTTCCTTCATTTACAGTCTATTCTCCCTTTTACTATTAATCTTATTAACGGTTTCACTACTAATCTTACTTTGACTTCTTACCCACCAACTCCCTAAAATCCTAAAACATATAAAACAACACCAAAAAAATGTGAGTATATTAGCATTTACAACGTCCAGTTATTTATTTCTGTAAAATTCAAAACAACAAGGTTGTGTACTCCAACAAAAATATACTTCCAGCTGTCAATTTATTTTCAAAGTGTATTTTACGGCTAAAAATTCAAGAATATAAGACAAATTTTGTTACATGCTGAGATGTAAAGATATACAGTACAATACAAATACCTAATTTTCCTGTACAGTATAATACATATATTTAGCTTTTTTAGCCTTTTTTGAACAAATTTTTTCAAATTTTGATAGCTAAAAAACGAACCTTAAATAACTTAGTCAATGCTTGTTCAGCAGCAGCACTTTTAGCAGTTTTCTTCGATTGTCCAATACCTTCAAATTTGTGTGTTCCATTTATTGTTAAAGTACATTTGAACATTGGTGGTTTATTGGGTGCCTGGCTGATATCTTGTGGTTCATCATACACTATGTCTGGGTTCTTTTTGCGCTGCAAATATGGCTAAACACTTTTCGTGGTTTCATTTGTGAATTACACCATCAATAATAACATACCAACAAATGTTGCATTTAATAATTCTAACTCTGGGATATAATGCGCGTCATCAACTCTTTGAAATTCTTAATAATTCTTAATGCAGCAAATCAATTAAAAAAAAAAAAAAAAAAAAAAACAAAATTCTTGTTGACCAAAAAATTCATTGTACAGGAAACTCCACAGCTCATTATATCACTATTATATATATGTTTGACCTACCAAAATTATCAAAGTTTCCGAAAAACAGATCAGTATTTATCGATGAGCATTATTTCATAGATTCTTCTATTAATAATATGCTCTCATCGTTTTTATTCAGTTTTGTTCATTATCTCATTGTTCTTTAAATTTAAGACCGTATGAACGGCCTTAAAAGAAACAAAATTATATTGAATTATCATTAATGAAATCTTTTAACTTATATGAAACTATATGAGAAAGCATTTTCTAATATGCAAAAGTACTTACATTTTGCTTCAACATCAGCTGATGTAAAGCATATGGAGGTGAAAGAACAGAGGATGCTTTCTTTATTTTGACATCTTCTGATGGCATAGTTAGGTCCAGCTCTTCTATGAGTACTTTTTCACATGCAGCATCCTTCGCTTTTTGCTTGTTATCTTGAGGTGGACCAACAATGGTTTCTAAAAATTATCAATCTGATATATTAATACCGCAGAAATCCACCATTCTTAGGCATATAAGCCATTTTTAAATTTAATTGATCTCTGAAATTCCAAACTGTTACAAAGGCGATCCTAATATGTTTCAGATATTTTCATAAAGCATACATTCAGTACACTAAGTTTAGGTCTAAATTTCTAAGTTCCATTGACTATTATAAGATCGTGGCAAAATCTGATAGTAACTATCCAGGACTACTCATAAATTCAATAACTAAGAAGATTACTAATAGAAGCAGAACTATTCTCTCAAAATATATTCAAAGATAAAAATTCCGAAAAGTTCCATAATGAGTTGTTATTACAATCAACGTTTGTTAACAAATATCATTTGCATAACATAAAGATATGTAAACCTACTTAATACCTACTATTTGTTTTTATGAAAAAGGAAATAATCCTAAAACCGCTCTTATCACACAAAATAAAACATGTAATAACGACCTGTAATGACCGTAATGCTTTTTTTTTCTTTACTTTTCTTTCCTTTGTTTTTCTTGCTGATTTTTAAATGAACTGAAAAGGAAAAGAAAGAGATTTTTGGTGAGTACAAGTCGCCAGCACATGCTTACTATTATTATCCAGCGTAATGCGGCAGATGAATCGACTATTTCCTTGGACGGGTTTTCCGTCAACGGTATCCACATCCACTTGCATGGTACGATCGTAGAAATTGAGCGCTTGTATCAAAACCTCAAGGCAAATATTACCACCACACAACACTTTCAAAAAAAGCGAATGATTGAGTTCTAACTAATCACTACTTATTTACTTTTTATTTAGACTTTTTTGTTAATGATGTAATATAGGTATCAAATTATGAAGATATTTAGTTTGAAGCTTCTTATAAGCCATTAGATCTTACGATGAAAAAACTATGATATCTCAATAAATTTTTCTTGCTATTATTTAACTTAAAATCAGCCGAAAATCAATTTACTGCATAATTTACTACATTTTCCATTTCTTAGTGCGCCTTTCGTCTTTAGCGCTATTTTCTGTCATATCAATTTCCATTTCTATCTTTTATTTGGTGTTATAATGTAATATCACTTGCTGCAAAGATGTTTCTTTAAAAAAGGATTAATTTCAGTTTTATAAGTGCATCAGAAACAATTCAAGCATACATTGATGGCAACGATTCTCATTTCTCCTTATTCAATTTAGTACTGATATTTATAAACATAACTTGTAAATCTAATAGCTTTCTCTGTATACAAAGTAATATTATCCATTCGCTTTTTTGTGCAGTTGTGAGATAATAATATAATAACTATGAAGCACAAAGGAGTGCTACAAGAATTAAAACTATTATAAAATCATACCTGCATTGGTTTGCCTGGCTTGAGATTCATTGTCCGGCGCTCTACCATTTTTAATTCATCTTGTGGCACATCGAAAACATCAACTAGTGCCTGTAAGAAACTTTCGAAAGGTAAATGAACAATGGTAAATACACAGAAAGAAATGTAGAGGTAACAAAAAAAAAAAACTGCAATAAATATACTTCACGAATGACAGCATTTTTGGTCGGTGATTTTCCATATCCTTCGTGAGAGTAAACCTTTCCTTGATGAGGCAAAACCAGCATACATCTGAAAAGTCATCAAAATTGTTCAAAAATAGAAAAAGACGGTTAAAATTGGGAAGAAAAATCCGAATAATCGCACTGTCACAACCGGTGATAGCTATAAGCACCAAAGATAAGCATTATTTTTTGAAAGGAAAGTAGAACTTTTTATTTCATTAATTCACCGGTTGTCACGTGAATTTTGATTTAATACATCATTTTAATAAGTCAAAGTAATCTTTTAATAATTTAATACCGTTGATTTAATACATCAAAATAATGTTAGTGAGTAACACTCATGCTAACTATATAACATGACGCTTAAGAATAATGACGCAATTCAAAGCATTATAACTCACTTGGTATTTCAATTTAATAGTGAAAGTAGTTCTGATCAATGCGACTAACATATGCATAATGTAGTTACATTTAAATAAAAATCTTAACGGAATAAAATGAAACAGAAAAATTAACTGGTATTAACTTGTATTTTTTCGACGATTTGCCATCTATGTCCGTTGTTGGAATTTCACTAAAGGTGAACTGTGGTATGAATTTTTCATTGCTGATACGCTCCTTCTCCTGAAAAATAATTTGTATCAATTACTACCGAAATGAGGAAACAAAAACAAGGAAGATGGAAACAATTTTAAAATAAAATTGCATACCCTACAGATACGAAGGAAGAAATCATGGAGAGAATTACACGTTGCATACCCTTTTCTTCGGCTTTCCTGAAAAAGAAAGAATAATAATACCTAAACAAAAATTTTCAAAAAAGACAAGCAGTTTTATATAAATTGTGGCAAGAGTATTTAAGATCCGAAAAAAAAAAAAAAAAAAACATGGATAAAAATGACATTTGAAGCAACAAGTTGAAAATCCTTAAATTTCTTAGTACGCATAACAAATCCATTTAGAAAAAAAAAGAATAGCCTTCTATTTCAGAATGTTTAATGAAGAACTGCCCTCTACAAATTCCATAGAAACTGAAATCTGCACAAATTTCAGATGCAGAGAATACAGTCATAACTGCTAATACTCAAGTTGTATATATTCTAGTATCACGAAGTGTTTTACAGAACAATTTTTTAAATAATCCTCATATAAATACTTCAACCATACTCTTAGATCAGCTGTAACAAAGAATTTATCTTTATATTAGCAAGAACAAAAAACAGACGACTTGTAAAAATTGCCAATTCTCAGTGCTACCAACGATATAGTAACAATTAGCGACATTTTGAATTAGTTTTTTTGGATCTGCACAGCACTAATATTCATAACTGTATAGTATGAATAAAAAAAAAAGAGAAAAAGGTAATAAATGTACAAAGATTGATTTAAAGCTAACTTCAGATCCGTTTGCTTGTTGTGCACAGAAATCAAAATCCGCAAGTTTTGTTTCCGATATTGAAACCGAAGCATCAAGTATTATATCGGGTCGCAATTCTTTCAAAGCTAATTCACACGCAAGCTTTAAATAACAAAAATGCATTAAGGTTCAAAGAAATTAACAGCGATATAACAAATGAAATGAAAAAAGTTGGAAAATACCTGTTTTGCAGCTTTTTTATTCGACCCTTCCGCACAGAATTTTTTAGCTTGCACCACAAAGCTGCATTCGAAACGTGGCAACTTGTTAACTACCAGCTAAATTACTAACAACTGTAATATTATCCACTCGCAATATAAGAAATAATAGCGTAACATTAAAGTTTTTTCTGCCATGGTACTATGTGCCTCATTTCATGAAATTCAACTACACAAACTACAGCAGATTTCGGAACTGTCAACATGCATTAGAAGAATCCATTAGTAGAATTTCCGGAAACAGTCCAAAAATGGCAAGAAATCTTTATGGATACTTTGATATCAACAAGAAATCCATGATGTTCTAACAGATACATACCGTTCTATAAGAACACTCATCCTTGAACTCTGGATACAATTCATTGAGAATCATTGCTGCTGTCTTGCCGGTTGCTGAATAAGTTCTAGATTTTTTATTTGGCGGTGCATAAGTTGTATCCACTCCGCAATCGAAACGATTCTGAAAACTTGATAATAAACAGTATAGAAAAATAGAAAAAAAAAAAAAAAAAACAGTATAGACAAAAAGAAACAGTGAAATTAGAAAAAAGAAAACGAAACAGTAATTTCTGAAAACAAAATAAATGGTTCCATTTGTAATAAAATTACATTTTTCCCATAACTAAAATAAGATATATATAAGATAATATGCAATACTAAACAGAAAATGAGCGATTAAACATTTCAATTTTCTAACTGAAAGTATTAAGAATTGTAACTGAAAGCATTAAGAAGATCATCATTATTAGTTACCTTTCTTGGAAATGAACCATAACTACGTTCACGCTTTCCCCTAGATGAAACGGTTGAATGTTGTAGTTGGTGTTTTGTAAAAAAACCTGAACCATAATAACCTGTAGTATTAGGATCAGTTCCAGAATAATGCTGTTGTTGAGGATAATGATTTTGATAATTGTGATATCCAGTACCAACACCACCGCTTACTCTATTAGACTTATTTTTAGTAATATTATTCAAAGACATCATCGGATAGTAAAATCGCTGTTGCTGTTGTTGTTGTTGTTGTTGTTGTTGTGATGTTATTGTCGATATTGCATCTGACGAAGTGCTACCGATTCTCAACCAACTTGGACAACCACCAGCACCGTAATAACTATGACTATCCATTTCGTTTTCAGAGAGGTTTAAATAGCGAATTCTATTAAGAAATTGTAGTCCTAAAAAAAAAAAAAAAAAAACTTTTAATGACGAAACGCAGCTATGCAATATCCACCGTAAAATATACGGCACTTTTTTGAGGAAAAAATAAATTTCAGAATACTCAAATCATCTATTTAAAATAAGTAACTGGTTAGGAACTGTAAAAATGCATCCTATAATTTGTGTTTTTCGAGGCAATTACGATTAATAAAGCTGACAGAACTTACCGGTTACTTCAGTAAAGTCATCCAGTATTTTTCAACTTTTTTTACACTATTCCTTGATCCTCCTAATTTATTATTGGTCTTCTCTAGGCAACTACCTAAGCTTTAGAAACTACTAACGACTAACCGGAACTTTTCTAACCCTGTATTATCGATTTCTCTGTTAGCATGGAGCGGCCATTATGCAAACTGATAATCTCTTCCGGTTTCAAGTTACTATTCATTTTTTGTTCTGCTTCGAAGAGATCCACGAAAGCCTTTTTTCTATTTCAGTTGTGGAAACAAAAATTTAAACTAATTTATATGAGTTTACATTTCTGAATAACATAAGTCTTCAAGTTTTAATATCTCTTATCAAATTTAATTCCAGCTTTTAAATGGATGAATTTAAAGTTTACGGAAAAAAATAGCATAACATCTTTATTACAATGTGCTTGCTTCTTTTGCAATTTCTTAATTGGTTTTTCTGTACTTTCCGAAGCAATTTTAAAACGAAACTAATCACTCAGTTGTCGAAGTCTAAGAGAGAGTAATACGATAATATGGATAATGTACGAGTTTGAATGTGTTCAACTTCTGACAATTTTGCAGAAAGATATACTATTCTCCTATTTTATTCCCAAAATCAACTGATTAAGTAACATGTACTCATGTATTCCATTAATTAATATAATATTTAAATAATCGAAAATTCAAAATATTTAAGTAATCGAGTGTTTAAGTAATCAAGTGTTCAAGTAACTGAGCACTTAAGCCTGGGTATTCAGTAACCGAGCATTCAGGTATTCAAGTAATCAAGTATTTCGATATTCATGTATTCAAGTAATCAAGTATTTCGATATTCATGTATTCAAGTAATCAAGTATTTCGATATTCATGTATTCAAGTAATCAAGTATTTCGATATTCATGTATTCAAGTAATCAAGTATTTCGATATTCATGTATTCAAGTAATCAAGTATTTCGATATTCATGTATTCAAGTAATCAAGTATTTCGATATTCAAGTATTCAAGTAATCAAGTATTTCGATATTCATGTATTCAAGTAATCAAGTATTTCGATATTCATGTATTCAAGTAATCAAGTATTTCGATATTCAAGTATTCAAGTAATGAAGTGTTTCGATATTCATGCATTATTCGAATGACTAATTCTAATAATCGAGCATTGCAGTAATTAGGTTTTGAAATATGAAGCATCAAGCATTTGAAGTTTAAGCTATCAGGTCTTGTGTATTGCAAGATAGGCACAAATAAATACATAACTGTAAGTAGTATGAGTAAACTATCTGAAATTATTGGATTAACTCTGAATTACAATGGGCTGCTACCCTATCAAGCTTCAATTTTATACAAAAAAATGAGGCATTTAAATCACTTCCAACATGTAATGAATTCGCCTTCTTTATGCAACATTTTCATCCCCAAACAATTATTTGGTCTCATTGTGCTAATAATGTGCTAATCTAAGTGGTAATATTTTTCAGAATTAAATTGTCCCATTAGGTAGCAGATGTGATTCATTAAGTTTCATTGATTGGAATGTTATTAGAAATTATTTATCGAAGTTTTTTCATCGTAATTACTGGAAAGATTGAAGATTTTCAGAAATAAGATTTGTGTTTTGGTGTAGTAAGATTATTATTATTCCATTAGTAAATTCGTTATTAATGTCTTTTATTGTAGTATATTTTTTTCTTCAGTTTATTATCATGTTTCGCAGAACAAGTGATATCTTCCGAAAAACCATACAAGTTGGTTTTTATTTCTTTCGTGCTGTGTTTATCAACATTTATTCCATTTGGCTCATTAAATAAACTAATTAAGTTAAAGGGCTAAGTATTCTCCTGGTCCTTATTTTAAAACATTATTAAATGCAGTTTGGAATATTAGACATTCATCTGTTAGTCTTTTATTTTTTTTTTTTTCAAGAAATTTTTTTCTTTTTTTTTTTTTTTTTTAAGAATTTCGGTTCTCAAAAACATGCTTACCTTGGAGGAGCAGTGTTTGCTGCCGCAGCTATCGCCCTTAGTGACGATGAGCTCAAGAAACAGCCTATGTGGTATGTTGTGATTTTTTGTTTCTTAACAGTTGGTTTTATATAGAACAATTGGTTGCATTCAGTTTAATACAAAGTAATTCAGTTCATATCTTTTTTACATATCTTGTTGATTGTGATAATTTTGTTACTTTTTGCCAAAAAACTTTGATATTCTCTTCTTTCATAGTAATCTCAGTTGTTCCATGTTATGTTTTTTGAAATTTGCTTGTAATGCAGGATTTCAGTTTAGTGTCCTATATCGGCTAGATTCAGGTATTTAGGAAATAATTTGAGTATATTTATATGAGTTACTTTTCTCCGTATATCACTTATTGAGCTTATTGTTCACTGAGCTTATCACTATAATTATCCAAACTAAGTTAAAACTTCAAACAAGTTAAATTCGAGTATTTTGATGCTATTATAAGGTGGTGCAATGTACCGAATATTTAGTCAGCTTTTTATTGTTTGTTATATTAGTGCTATTATATGCAGGTATCAAACGTCTGTGCGTAAGCTATCATTTGCGATAAAATATACGAATCGAAAAGGCTATTTGGATGATGTAATATTACTGGAGAATCTTCGTGAGAAGCTTTATCCGTAAGTTGTGTTTTCATGTTACTATTCATTTCATTATGTCACCACGTTTTGATTTCCACAGGTCTTCTCACTATAATGATAGATATGGTAATTGTAAGTGCCTTATATTAATGTCAGCTTATTCTAGGACATGAATCCCTTTCCTGAAATTTCTTATGAGGTCTTTCCATTGAACTTTTACCCAGTCTGGGCTGAGACGATTTTAATACGTATTTGTTTTTTAATTTCAGATATTCGGACTCAACGAACACCGACCTCTTATGGCGGTATGCCCGAGTACTACTCGAAATTGCTTTGTGGACTTCAAGTGCCGACAAAAACCGAATGGCTACATTCCTCGAGGTTTCTTCATGCCAGAGTGTTTTTGTGTTCCATTTTTGTTTCTAAACAATTTTCCGGTCATTATTTGGAGTACCAAGTTAGTCAGTGAATTCATTGAAGTAATTTTTAGGCTGAAAAAGTGGGCAAAAAGGCGCTTGAGAATGAAAGTCCACAAAGCCCAAATGCCAGTGCACACAAATGGTAAGCTGGAATTATATACTAATTTGTTCTATTTAGCTAAATCGATTAGGAGAAATGTTTTCATTGCTGGAATTATTAAGGTGTATGTATATCATATTTTAATAAATCGGTTTTTTTCTCATACTTTGCTTTTTTGGCTTTTTCTGAAAATGATTCGGAATAAAGTATAAAAAATGAAGTCGAGTTGGCTTTTCGAGCATTTTCAGGTATGGAATAACTCTGGTAAAGTTAATGGATTTCCGTTCTGATAAGAAAATTGATGAAGCACAAAAACACTTAGAGAAAGCAGTTGAATTAGATCCAAAAGATGTAAGATCGTGGCAATATCTTGGTTTGTTTTGTTTTATTTGATATAGATCTTTGAAATTCTGATTTACTGTTAAATGGTTGAATATCATTAGACTTCCTAAAGGAACGTATCAACCTAGTTAATCAAGGTATGGTAGCTGAATGGTACTTGTTCTAGCAGATTAATTAACTGATTATGATATCATTATTTGTGGGCCGTAAGTAGCAAACAACTATGTTCTTTCGGAGTTTAAAAGCATGCAATATATAGAAACAGATCTATAACTAAAGTTTTTTTTTTTTTCAAAAAGATGGACCGAAATTAGGGCTTTATTGGGAGTTTTTTAATATTAGATTAAATTAATATTAAAAGATTTTTTGTTTTGCTAACTAATTTATCTACAATAATAGCAAACTCAACATCATTTCAGGTATTGTGCAATACATGCAGAAAGATTACAAGCACGCATTGGAAAGCCATCAAAAAGCTGAGTCACTGGAGGTATGTTTATTTTCCTAATGATTCAATTAATTAGCTTGGTTGCTTAAAAATTTCTCATTTTCGTTTTTATAAAGTTACTACTAGGTATACAATTGTTAGTGTGTTGTAGTTGGGAGTCTTGCCGGCAATTTAGTGGTTATATTTTCAAGCAGAAAAGATTTTTTGCTGTCGAAGAAAAAAATGTTCATATATTCTAGAATATATATTGTGGCTATCAAAATGTGATATAAAACATTTTTTTTTTTTGTGAGTTTGTGTAGATAAAATGCATTCTTTATTCCTCCTTTTTAATCTGTCGAGGAAATATAGTTTAGAGTAATTATGGTATTGAGCAAAACCTTATTTAATCAAATCCAAATCATTTTCAGCCTGGTTTTTCAAACGAGAACACATTCTGGCTCGGAAAGGCACAGCTTGCATTGGGACGAAAAAAAGATGCATGCGAAAGCTTCAAGAAAGCAAAAACTCTGACTCCACGTTACAGGAATGAATATAAGGTTTTTCTTTGTATCATTAAATATTTACGGGATGAAAAAACTCAATTTATCAATGGACAAAATGAAGATAAAGCTTTTTTAAGAAAATTTTCTAAGAAAAAACTAAGATGTTGTACGAAAACATGTGATTAGGTTTAGAATATATAATTCTTTAAAATAATCGATGACGCGAACAGTTGTGCAAATAAGTTATACTTTTGAATGATAAAGCAAAATAAGATAGAGCAGTTACGTCTTTTTTATGTCCTCTTTTTTTCGATGATTTTTATAGTTATCGGATGACTAATTTATTATCACATTTTCAGACTGGAGTGCAAGCTCGCGAATTCTTATTGAAAAAGTGCCGGATGCGTGTGGAAGATATTCCAGATTCCGCTTGTCCTTACTAATCTGCAAATATCCATTCGTTTTTAATAGTTGTATTAGAATTTACGGAGGATTTCAAATTTTGTAGGCATAAATTGTTTTTGCTTTCCTTTGTGATAACTTTCCTTTGATGTCAGTAAAAAATAAATGAATAAAGGAAAATGCATGTGTTCTTCGATTCGAAATGTTTGTGTTAGCAGCATAAAATTTTTTTGCTATTCTTCTCATTTGTGGAAATTCTCGCCAAGAAATTCAAACCCACTTTTTTACTTCAGATTTAAATAATTTTAATTCCAGTATTATATGCTAGGTTATAACCTTCACAACTGAAGTTTTTTGGATTTCGGCTTTAGTTCACAATTACGAAGTACGTTTGTCTTTGATAAGTAAATGAAAATTTATTCCCACAAATATTATGATAAAAATTTCAACTAAATTGTTGTGAATTGTAGTTGATGTTTAGCATTTTGATCCTTTCAGATTCATAATTTTATATTCAGATGGTGATAAGGTTATGGAAGTATCCATTAATCAAAACATGTATTGCTGGTGGATTGGGATCTTTAGCGTTTGGTATGATAGATTCGGTTGATTCGTGTCCTATGCTGGATGACAATGAGAAATGGTATTCTCGTTTGTTTATTTCTCCTTACAATTTCTAAATTCTCCTAACGCTACTATTGCTATCGTTACATTTTTTAAATTTTTTCATCTTTAGGAGGAAATATCGGTCAGATTTCTATGAATTTTATTTCAAATTTGTGGATATTGTCGGCAAACGTCACTACATCGAAGAACAATATCAGCAGAACATACCCAATGGATCCTATCTAAGGTGGAGATTTGGTAGCTTTACTTTAATTTCATATCAGTTAAATTACAGATAGAAGAGAAACATTCCATTTCGGTATACTGCTATATTAGAACTTAACATTATTTGTCGAATGATAACCTTATCATTTAAAACATTGAAATTAATAAATAAGTAGATGATAAAATGTTTTTTTTTTTTCTTGGAATTTAAATATTTTTTTTATATGAAATCCTTTCCTTACTCGTTTGCAGATGTGCGATTGATTCGTTAGAAAAGGCTCATCAAATTATTAGGTTTGATAGTGATGATAGATTACGAAGAAAGATTTTGCGCAAGGTATTTCTTTCTTTCTTTTGGTCTTAAATTTCTTAAAATCATACTCCAGATTTAAAGTGCTCAAGTAAAATACTCAAGTAAACTAAAATACTCGAAGTTTGGCAGGATTATTTTCTGGATTTCTTTATACTTATTCTTTAAAATATTATACTGTCTGGCTAAAATAATGCAAACTGTCTCAGAAAGTAGGTAAAAGATTGGCACTTAGAGTTCAAATGAATTCCAAAAAATCAGTAACTGTAAAAGTAATTCTGCATTTTCTTATTACGACTTTTATTTATGCATTTGTAAAAACAATAATTCATATCTTTATCTTTGGATATTTAAAGTTGTATAAATTAAGGCTCATCGTTACGCAATCAAAGCAGTTACTGTTGAGCAAAATGAAGATTTGCGAGTTGAAAGTCATAAATGGTAACAATCAGTTTTTTTCGCTATTAATATATGCGTCATATAAAGATAAGTATAAATCTCATTAATTTTTACAAATCTTTGTTGTCTCCAATCTTTCAAACATTGATTTTGTAAATCCTAAATTTCAGGTATGGTCTTATTATGTTGAAAAGAGCCAAATACGGAAACAAAGAAAAACGATTACTGAAATCAATTAACGAGCTTGAAAAAGCATTGGTTATTGACAGCATAGATCCACAAATTTGGTATTATTTAGGTAAATTCGATATTATTTGCCTTATTTTTTTGGTTTTTCTAATTTTCTACTTCAAAAGCTTTTGTAAAATCAAAAATGTTTTTGGCATCGACAGTATTGACTTAATGATACATGAAGATGAATGAATAATCTACATTGGATCTTGTTGAACATTCCAGAGTATGAAACATTTTTTTCAGTTAGAATAATTGATAGGACAAATTTTTTAGTAAGTGAGCTATTGAGGTTGGAGACTATATTTAGTTAATAAGCAACTGGATTTAATTTAACATATGAAAAATTTTTGTCAATTTCTATCGTAAATTTTTGTCAATTTCTATCGTAAAATGAAGTCCAGACTCAACTTTTAAACGTCATATCTCTTGAATCATATTGAATTTGAATTTATGATTATATTTGCAATATACTGGTTTGAATTGCATTTTAAAGGTATTGCAAATTATGAGCTTGGTGAGTATCAAAATGCTGTCGAATGTCATTTACGGGCAATGAAACTGAAAGTTAGTTAGTTTCTTGCAATTTTGTAAATATATTTTCTTTCTGATATTTGTGAAAGAGTTTTGGAGTTGCCAAAGTGAACAACTGTTAGATTTCTCTTAGAGATCCATCTTAATACTTTTTATATCAAGTTCAAAAATTGATTCCGATTATATATTTTGGGTTTGAATTGTCTTAAGCACTCGGAATATACAACGTAAATTCAATTATGTCATATTGTTAGAGTAAGAGTATAAGTAGTTTGATAATCTGTCCCAGCAAATTTGCAGCATTATTTGTCGCGGATTTTAATATCGCGATCTAAAAATATGAGTTGCAAATTGTAGTAAAGATATCTACGTAATTTCCGCAAATAATGCTTATACTTCGGACTCTTTGTTTCCAAATTTATGCTTCTACATATTGAAACAATTTACATCGTTCTTTGTTAGCAATCCTTACAATCATGAGGATATCTACATTGTTCTTTGTTAGCTATCATAATCATGCGGTTATCTAATAAGCTCTTTATTAGCAACTGGTGCCCATGCAAGCACCTCCTCTCCTTTGTTTGGATCATTGTCTAACATCAATGTAGATTTTATAACCATACTATTGTCAATTAGATCAGTTTTAAAAATCATCCAATCCTCCGAATCAGTTTATTCAATTGTTGCCCAAATATTTAGCTGGCATCCAACACATCTCCCTGACATCAAACTTCTCCCCCGAATAACAATTTAACCAAATCATAAAGGTTGTTTCCAAAAACATTTTTGCTTCCACTACAATTTTGGTGCCACGAGCCGGGACATGTCCGACAGTATAAGAAAAGGAAGCGAATTATCGAAGTCGAGAACTCTAGAACTTCTTAAAGAAGCAAGTGAACTCGATCTGACCTCCCCGTCTCAAACACTATCACGAGGGGAACTTCAGCATCAATACGAAATTAAATTGCGAATCGTCAAGGAGAAGATCGCACATCTCGAATATTATGCTGGGTTACTCGAAACAGCTAATCAAAATTGGCTGGATAATATTCAGAGCTTGACAATAGCAACGAGGAGAAAGGAAGAGGAGACGAAATACGCCAATATGGTTGACGATCCACAAGGTATTTTAAGTTTAATCACTAGAACAAGAGAAACTATTATTACCCTTAAAATACATACTGATGAATATTGCTCGGTACTACAACATTTAAAACAAGAAGAGGTCAAAGAATCATTTCCAAAGAATAGTATGATTCACACAAATCAAGCAGAAATAAAACTTCCTCAATTACCACTAATAACGTTTAGTGGGGATCCAAAATTGTGGAGGCAATTTTGGTGTAGTTTCAAGGCAGCAGTCCATGAGCAAAGCATCCCAGATATTCAAAAGTTAAACTATCTGATATCATGTCTTAAAGGAGATGCTTTGTTATCTGTAAGAGGTTATGATATAGCGCCAGAAAACTACGATGTTATAATAGGTTTACTAAAAGAGAAATATGGTAAACCTTTCCTTATAAAGAAATCACTCTACAACGAGTTGAATACCATCAAAAAAAATGACCGAGAGTGGAAAGCAACCATAGAAGCCATGGAGAGAACATTTCGACAACTGGAAGCTATAGGTGAAAATTTAGAGCATTCAAGCATCGAAATTACAATTGAAAATAAACTACCAGCGTGGATAATTGATAAATTATACCAATTGAAAGAGGATTCGACGAGTTGGTCAGTTAAGGATATCCGGCAGTACCTGACAAAACTAGTTCTAAGAAATGAAGAAGTTGCTAGAAGTCAAGCAGACACAAGGGAGAAGAAAACAAACAAAAATAATGTTAGAGGCGAAACGTCAGCTTTCGCCACAATCAACCAAACAAAGGGAGATAATACAATCAAATCAAAAAAGGTTCCAGGAAAAATTTCTATAAATGGGAAAAGGAAACCATGCGTATTTTGCAATAAGGACCACTGGAACAATGAATGTAACATCTATCCCACTCTCAAACTCCGGATGGAACGTTTGAGAGAAATCACTGCATGTTTCAAATGTTTACGAAAAGGACATGCAACAAGTGATTGTAAAAAAGGGAAACCTTTGTGTTTCCATTGTAAAAGTCCACACAATACAGCACTGTGTCCCAACAACTACAAGGAACTCACGCAAGCAGTGGATTCCAACAAAGAAAGGTTGGGTTCAGTCACAATCGCTAACTCCATTACCGAAAAAGGAAATCAATGGAAAAAGCGAACCTTACTGTTATGTAAGGAAATAAATGTAACCAATCCAAATCGCCCAAAAATCCAACAAAAGGCTTTAATTCTATTCGATATTGGTTCTCAATTATCGTTCATATCAAAGGATTTGGCTTATCGATTGAATCTACAAGAAACTAACGAGATGGAAATAAAAATTGCTTCATTTGGTGATAAGACGCCAAAAACGTGTATCACTACTAAAACTGAAATCGGAGTAAAAATTGGAAATAAAGAAATAATCCGATTAGATGTAATAACAGTTAACCACTTGACGAATGAATTGCAAGTAGTTAATCTAAACAAAAAGGAATTGTTGATGATAGACAAACGAAATCAGTTTAGTAATTTCAAAAACAAATGGAAACAACCGGACATACTCATAGGTGCGGATCACTTCTTCAAGTTTATCCAGTTTGACCAAGCAGAGAACTTAAAATCAGGATTTTCATTGATCCATACAAAGGTTGGACCTATAATAGCTGGAAGTGGGTATATAAATGAAATACACGACAGTATTTCAGAAACCACATCAGTAAGTCCGATTTCTCAAGTCAATGCCGTCAATATTCCAGACTTAGATCACTTTTGGAAACTGGAAATAATGGGTATACAAGACAAAATAAACTCTGACAATGATGAAAAAGCATTGCAGCAATTTAAACAAACTATCACTAGGGACAAGGGAAGATATCAAGTTTGTTGGCCTTGGAAAGATTCAAAGAACAAACTAAGCGATAATTTCGGACTTTGCCTTGGAAGATTAAAGTCGTTAATTAGGAGGCTTCAAATGAAACCTCAATTACTAAGTCGATACAATCAAACTATTGAAGAACAACTCAATTCCAATATAATTGAGAAAGTGTCATCGGAAATGAATGAAGTTGGTATTATTCATTATCTGCCTCATCACGAAGTAATAACACCAAATAAAACCACGACAAATCTGAGGATAGTTTATGATGCATCAGCTCATTGTAAAGGAATGAAAAGTTTAAATGATGTTTTATATCGGGGACCAATAACACTCCCTGATTTGGTTGGAGTTTTGCTACGTTTCCGTACAATGAAAAATGTAATAATAGCAGACGTAGAAAAGGCGTTCTTGCAAATAGAATTGCATCCAACAGATAGAAACTGCACTCGATTTCTTTGGTTGAAAGACGTTCGAAGTCCAGTTAACGAAGAAAACGTAAGTTGTTACCGTTTCCAACGAGTTCCATTTGGAATTGTATCATCTCCATTTTTATTGTCCGCTACACTCAATTATCATTTGGAAACTTGTAAAAGCAAAATCGCACTCGAGTTAAGGAAAAATCTCTATGTCGATAACATTATAATACCAACCAAAGGAACCAACGAAGCTCTTTCCAATTATAAGGAAATTAAAATTATATTCAATGAAGCATCAATGAATGTACGGGAATTTCTCTCTAACGACCAAGAAGTCAATGAAAAACTTCCGGTACAAGATCGAGCAGAGGTAAGTTCAATTAAAAAAATTCTAGGTCTCAATTGGTACCACAAACAAGATATCATTCAAGTAACGTTAAAACCATGGTTTGGTAAGAAATTAACTAAAAGAATTATATTGCAATTCGTAGCCTCACAATATGACCCACTAGGATTCATAGTTCCTATACTGATAAGATTCAAATTGTTTCTCCAAACTTTGTGGAAAAAGAACCTTTCATGGGATCAAACTATAAGTGAGGAGGATGAAACCACGTGGAAATTACTCACGAACGAATGGCCAAAGAAACTAAAGGATCTACCAAGATTCACAACAAATTGTTCCAAGCAAGTACAATTTCATGTTTTTACTGACGCATCAACTGCTGCATACTCAGCAGCTTTATACATTCGAACTCAAGAAAGAGAAGTATTCTTAGTGTTTGCTAAATCCCGAATTGCGCCAATTAAAGGAATGTCAATACCTCGATTAGAATTACTGGCAATACTCATCGGAGTGAGAATGGTACAATTCGTATTAAAACAAAAAGAGCTTGAGGACGTGATAACAATTTTATGGTCCGATTCTCAATGTGCGCTTCATTGGGTTCACAATAGTTCCCGTTTACTACCAACGTTCATACAAAATAGGGTAGAAGAAATACGAAAGGCGAAAATCCATTTTAGATATATCCCAAGTGAACAAAACCCAGCTGATATAGCTACAAAAGGAATCTCTCCGAATAAACTAAAAGGATATGATCTTTGGTGGAAAGGACCAAAGTGGTTAACAGAAAACGAATCAAAATGGCCACAGTGGAAATACAATTACAATGAGGATTACCAGGATGAAGAAATTGTGGCCCACATCACAGAACCAATTATCATAAACAAACATTTCGGAATCTTAGATGCTAGTCGTTTTAGCAAATGGTCAAGATTAATAAGAACAACTGGTTGGGTTCTGAAATTCATAAGATTAACAATGAAAAGGGAAATTCCTTGGCTAAAGATGGCAACGAAAGAAAAGAATATATTGACAACACAGGATTACGAGTTGTCAGAAATTGTGCTATTCAAACAAGCACAGTCAGAAGGAGTTACCAAAGATGAAATAATCAAATGGAATTTGTTCTATGATAACGAACTATGGAGATACAAAAGCCGCGTAGTTAACTCTGAAATGAAAGAGAGTAACTTACACCCAATATATCTCCCGAGACACAACACCATAACTGAACTCTTTATTCAGCAACGACATGAACAACTGTATCATGCTGGAATTGCTCATACACTCTCAAATCTGAGATCGACGATATGGATCCCAAAAGGTAGAACGGAAGTCAAACGAATCTTGAATAAGTGCATGAAGTGCAGACGCTGGACAACTAAACCATTCAAATTACCAACTATGGCTGATCTTCCAGCATCTCGGACCACAAGATCAAGACCCTTTGCGCGAGTAGGACTAGACTATTTAGGTCCTGTGAATATCAGGAGTGATAATGGGCTAACAAAAAGATGGGTAGCACTATTCACATGTTTCACAACAAGAGCTGTACATCTAGAAGTAGTAGAAACTCTTTCAGCCGAAAGCTTTTTACATGTTTTCAGAAGATTTACAGCAAGACGAGGCTTTCCAGAATTAATCTTAAGCGACAACGCTGGTCAATTCCAGTTAATTTTTAAAATCATTGTGAAACAACAATTAAATGAATTCCTAGCGGAAAGGAAAATGATCTGGAAAAATATAATACCAAAGGCGCCTTGGAACGGAGGAGTATATGAGCGACTTATTGGGTTAACAAAAAGGGCAATGAAAAGAGCCATCGGCAGAAAGTTATTATGGGAACGGGAATTGATTACGCTAGTAGCGGAAGTGGAAAGTATTTTGAATACTCGACCACTAACTTACGTAAATTTTGATGATTGTATCATATTGCGTCCAATTGACTTTATACTACCGAATGCGCATCTAATCATGCCTGCTAAAAACAAGAATGAAATGGATGATTTTATCCCTCATAAATTGGATTCGAGAGAAAAACTCATTCAATACTGGTCAAATACACTAAAGGCCCTCGATGCCTTCTGGGAAATATGGAAAGAGGAATATTTAAATACTCTTAAAGAAAGAGCACAAAGGGAACACTCTTCTCCGAGAGATGTAGTAAAAAGAACTCCCCACGAGGGAGAGATTGTGTTACTAAATGAACCAGAAATTCCCCGTGGCATGTGGAAACTAGCCAGAATAAGAGAAATCAAAACAGGAAAGGATGGAGAAGTGAGAAGTGTCTCGATAGAATTACCGAAAGGAAAAATACTCAACAGACCGGTGAATATGTTATACCCACTGGAAGTCAAAGGTGAGGAAATTGACCCTCAACCAACAATGTTTAACAAATCAGTGCAAAATGTCAATGAACAAGAACCAATTGCTCTACGAACTAGAAGCGCTATAAGGCGAAGCAATCAACCAAAGCTGTCCAACGAACTAAAGCATTTAGCTCCTTCGGTCGGGAGTGTCGCGGATTTTAATATCGCGATCTAAAAATATGAGTTGCAAATTGTAGTAAAGATATCTACGTAATTTCCGCAAATAATGCTTATACTTCGGACTCTTTGTTTCCAAATTTATGCTTCTACATATTGAAACAATTTACATCGTTCTTTGTTAGCAATCCTTACAATCATGAGGATATCTACATTGTTCTTTGTTAGCTATCATAATCATGCGGTTATCTAATAAGCTCTTTATTAGCAACTGGTGCCCATGCAAGCACCTCCTCTCCTTTGTTTGGATCATTGTCTAACATCAATGTAGATTTTATAACCATACTATTGTCAATTAGATCAGTTTTAAAAATCATCCAATCCTCCGAATCAGTTTATTCAATTGTTGCCCAAATATTTAGCTGACATCCAACACATCTCCCTGACATCAAACTTCTCCCCCGAATAACAATTTAACCAAATCATAAAGGTTGTTTCCAAAAACATTTTTGCTTCCACTACATTATTTGGAAACTGTAGAAATTCAAATACATAATATTTGCTATTTCGAGTGGAATTACTTTTGATATTTAATGTGAAGTTTTTCGTGATATAAAGAAATAATAATAATAATAATTTGCAGCAGAGTGATTGTCCTCAAAATCAATATCACCTTGGATTAGCTCAAAAACAATTGAACACTCCAAAATCTCGAGTAGATGCATGTAATGCTTTCAAACAAGTTTTAACAAAACATTGTGATTCGGTCGCAGATACTGTGGTAAACCTAAACTTATTGTTTGTTCATTTTGTTTTTTAATACAGTTGTTTTTTGCATATTTCATTTAAATCATTTAAGTTTTTTGCATTATTTTTCATTTAAATCATTTAAGTTTTTTGCATTATTTGGTCAAACATATATTTTCTTTTTTTTTTTTTTTTTTTTTTACTAAATGCATTTGTGAATTTTGCTTCATAATAAGATTCAAGAAAACTTACATAGTATGAAATTCAACTTGATATGATTATAAATAAATTAATGCAATTTTTTTTTTTATTTTGCAGTTAATTTATTGCTGTTTATATAAAATTTTATCTTGCAAATATACGAAATTTTTAGATACGACGTGCAGCATTGAGAGAATGCCATGAATGTAAAGAGTATTTATGATACAATTTTTGCAATGAGATAGAAGTGGCAGTAAGTTTCACTCATACAATCGTGAAATAAGTGATTTTTCGCATTAAACTTATAAAATTGCTTAGTAATTTTTGTAACTCAAAAGCAGAATATATAAAAATATATAGGAAAGGTGCCTTTTTCATTGAAGGACACTAATATTGATCCGAATTTAGTATTTTCCTCTCATAATGATTTAGGAAAAAATTTTTGAAGTTATATCTATAATGTGTCAGTTGAATGTTTTCGTTCCAGAAAGTAAATTTTTGTGAATTTATTTCGAATATTATTACATATTTTCATCATTTTTTTTTTTTTTTTTTTGGTTTTAAAGAAAAAGGAATGACTAGATAAATGAAAGGAGTGAAAAGAATAATCTAATATTGTTAATTAATAATCTAATGTTGTTAATCTTTATTATCAAATTTCGAATCTGTTAATTTATATTTACATGCTTTGATTAACTGCATTTTCACGGTAGCATTCTTTGTTTTCTTTACTTTTCCTAGTAATTAATTCATTATTCTTGAATTTGTTATTGCTTAACATTTAAATAAGAGTATTGAAACATAGTCATTTTATTTCATTTCATTATTTATGAAAATATAATCCGGGACGAGATGCTTAACAAAATTTCCCCAACAAATTATTTAGCTATCATCAAATTGTTTGCATTGATTGTGGATGCATAAAAAAGTTGACATTTCATATCTGAAAAATCACAAACTCCAAAACTATTCCTCACATTGACGTATTCTTTCAAAAACGAAGGATAAATTTGATGCATTTGACGAAAATTGGTATATTCGAATAAATTTGAAATTAAAAATTTCTTTGCATAGTAGTTCTCAACGTACTGATAAGCAATATCTCAAATAGTGCAAATACAGCGAAAGATCATTTGGATTTATTATGATTATGTAAATATGTATTTATACAAATTAAATGCATTATCATTTTCTTAACAGAGATTTCTCTCTCTCTCTTTCTATTTAGCAAAAAGTTTAAATTGATACAACAATCATTGAATTAATCATTGTTTAATAAATAAGTTATTAATTTAGGTTATTTCATTTCCATAGACAAATCCATATAATGGCTGTAAATATCATTTTAAAATATTTTCCATTACTCATTATTATTTTGCCATGGTGTAGCAGTCTTATTGATATACGCCATCGTTTTGAACTTCCTCAAATACCAACTGATTTAAAGGAACAAATTTTGGCTGAATGTAAATCAACATTTGTCAAATTTTTTCAACCACATAAACATAAGGTGAAAATTTGATATTATTAATAAATAATTTGAACAAATTAATAATTTTTATGAGCATATTTGATATGAGTTTAGATATAATATATTCGATATGAAATTTTAATATAAAATATTTGTTTACATATTAACTGAAAATAATAATTGCAATAATAATTTTATAATTATTATAAAAGTAAATAAAGAAAAAAAAAATTTTTTTTTTTTTGAATTGAAATCAATTGATTATTAAATTTCTACTACATTTCTTTTCCTTGTCAATTAGTGAAATAAAAAAAAAAAAAAAAAAACATATTTTATAATTATGCTAATAGCTATGCAAAGTTTGAATAATAATGATAATTATCATTTCTTATAATTTTACTAGATGATATATATACCAATTCCATAATATATTTTTTTAATATTGAAATATTATTATTATATTATTGTTATTATCATTATATCAATGTATCATTTATTATTTACTAATAACTGATTATTGAATAAATCAATAATATAATTTGAAATAGATATAATTGGTATTGGTCATAATAATTAATCAATTAATAATGATATAATTAATATAGACAATGTCACAAACAACAATCAAAATAGATGTAAGTAATGCATCAATGAATGAAATGCTAACAAATACAACAAAAATGATGTCACATGAAACGGTGACATCGTCATCAGCAAGCAGTCAGCAATGTCCAATGGCAATAAATAATTGCATTTTAACAAAAACAAGTCCATTTCTGGAGCATTGTGATGTGAAATGCTTAACAGCTACTGATAAATCATTATCAAATGATTTACATTGTTGGAATGATAATTGTTTCATACGTGCAACACGTATTTGTGAAGAAAAATTTTGGCGTACGGTAAGTGTAAAAAATCGAAAGAAGAAAAAGAAACGAATGCGTTGTATAACAGAAATTAAACATTGCTATAAATTAGCATGTTTAAAATGTCTTGGACGTGAATGTAATATAAATTGTTATGGTGGTGGTATACAGTATATTTCATTAACAAAACCACGTTGGAAAGGTTATGATGAATATAAGAAATTTTTTCCGGAAATAAAAGATATTGTTCATAAATTTGTACTTGTTCCTGAGAAAATGATCATTATTGAGGATTATAATGAATAAAACTAACAAATCAATAGTAGTAATAATAATAATAATAATTTGTATAATTGATAATTAATTGATTTACTAAATAATGAATTTACTTTTTAACTTTATTCACATTAACTTGTCCAAATTTTAAAATGTATTATTATTATTATCATTAAAAATTGTATTTGTCAATTTTTTTCATGTAAATATGATTTATGAAACTGATTTAATAATGTGTAAATAATAAAATATGAAAAAAATTTTTATTTGTATTATTTTACACAACAATGAGCAATATTTTACAAGTACCAATCTGAAAAGTTTACCCATCAATGTCTTCTTACTACCGATAATTTCAAATAAGCAATTGAAAATTTGATTAAAAAAAAAAAAAGAAAAATTAAGAAATTTGATAAATTGATAAAAAATTTGACAAGATGAAAGAAAAAAAAAAAACAAAGAAATATGATAAATAAACATGTATATATATATAATGTATACATCAAATACTACATACACATATACATGTTTACATTGATATTTCTAAACTTTTATAAATATTATTATGAATAATTGATTTCAAACAATAAAATATTTTCAAAAATCATATGAATATTTCTTTTTTTTTTTCTCTCTCACACAAATATTACATTTTGTACATTTATTTTAGAAAAGTAAATAAAACAAAACAAAAAAAAAAAAAGAAAATTAGGAGAGAATACAAATATACAAATAGAATTTTTGTGTTTGTCTTTCTTTTATTAGAAAAAAGTATAATTATACAAAATCATTGTTTTCTTAATTTTGTTTTTCTCTTTCTTTTTTTTTTTTTTTTTTTTTAAATTGAATTAATTAAAAGTAAGAGAAAGAGAGAGAGAGAAAAAAAGGCAAAATTTGTTGTATTATTTAAGCACCCATTGGAATAATTCTGATCAAAATTTGATTATTTAAAGAAAATTAAAAAAGAAAAAAGTGAAAAGGAGAAAGAAAAATGGAAAATATCAATAATTATTATATTTCAATTATTTTTGCAAATAATTTATTTGCATATAATAGAAAACTGAGCAATTCAATTCATAAATTAATAACTTATAATAGATTTGATGAATTAGTCATTTCAAAAGTATTTATTAGATTTAATAAACTTTCAACTCTTGCCATCAGTGCAACTAAACGTTCCGTTGTCTCTTGTAATGTTAATTGATCTCCATCAAACATCTGAAATTAAATAACTTTTTAGCTTTTCATTAATAAATGAATTAATTAAAAAAAAAAAAAAAAAAAAAAGAAAAGTTGAAATGAAATGAAACTTCGATTGATTTAAAATAAATAAAAAATGGAAATATTTGAAATATTAATTGTATTAATTGAGAATGAAATAAATTTTGTACCACATTTTTTCCAATTTTTCATAAAAATTTAATAAATGTAACTGCAAAAATTAAGAGTATCTAAATTTGTCACACAAGCGATGATACTAACATTTAGTTAAAATAAAAAAAAAAAAAAAAAACTTTTTTCTTAATTGCATTTCCTAAAATTAATAAATGAAAAAGAGAAATATACTTACCTGATAAAAATCATTTCTAGATTGCATTGTCACATCATCATTTCTGCTATTGTTGGAAGTAAAATTAATCTCATTGAGATTTAAAAAACGACTTAGTAATAATCGTATAGTACTACTTCGTGTAGTATTACTGATTTCCGAATTATCCGATTCGCTTTGTTGATTATTTAGGGATGTTGTTGGTGCATGGACAGGTGCAAATATTGAAGATGATAAATGATCGTTATTAATTGGTGTTGAAGTATTATTATTTGGACCAGAAGTATGATGTGAACCCAAATGTCTCATAATTCCAGTCATATCAACTGGTGAATCTGAAATTTTACTTTTAATTTAGACCGGAATTATTTATCACTGATTTAAATTATGTTAACATCAAAAAGTTGCTCATTTATCTTATCATTATTTATTGTTTATTATTGTTATCGTTGTTATCAGTGTTCGTTATTATTACTGTTATTATCATTATTAATTATTCTATTAATATTTGCTAGCAAAATTTGTATTAGCAAACAAATCGAAACCATTATCAGCTTCCGTTTCTTGTAATTCTCTTGGATTTTCCAGTCTTGTTGGAGTGCTAGTTTCTGGATCCTCAGGTAGTGTTGCTCTTTGTTGTGATGTTGTTCCATTCATATGTTCTATTATTGGTGTTTCTGCTGTTGTCTAAAATAAAAAATAGTGCTGAAAATTTAAATTAAAAACAAATTTTTCAAAAGTAAAATTTATTTTATATAGATTAGATGATTTATTTATTAGAAATTGTATATTTAATATAGATTAAATATACAATTGAAATCATTATTATGCATTATATTCACTGGGAGAAATTAAAAATATAAATTTTACTAGAAAATATAAAAGATAAGATTTAATATGATCGCATGATATTATCATTTCCTATATATCTGATAAATAAACATAGGATCTTTGCTCACAAATGATGCTTTATCATTAAATGATTGGATATCACTGCATTTCCTAAAAACACAAAAAAGTATTATGATAATTTATCAAGGAGAAAAAAGAAATGTTTGTTGTTTATCCAATTAGCACTTACCGATGATGTGCTAGTTTCTGCACCTGAAATGAAATTATCACTTTCTTCGTCATTATCAGATTCATCACCATCATTATCTTCATTATCATCATCACCATCATTATCATCATTATCACCATCATCATCATAACTCTCTGCTTATAAAAATTTCAATAAATTATTGCAAATTAAATGAAATACTTAGGCAATAACATTGATCAATTTTATTTTCTATTTATTTTCCACTTTAAATACTCTGATCTAGTTAAATCTAAATTTCTACCAAATCATATCGATAAACAAACCTCCCGTAAATGTCTCCTCTGATTCATTAGCATTAGTAAGTGATGTAGTAATTGTATCATTTAGTACTGATGAAGTGCTAATTTGATTTGATGATACAGTAGCTCCCGGTGATAATTCCTAAATTTGATTATTATTTTTTTTTGTTTTGCAAAAAATGAATAAAATTGATTTTTGATCTAATTATGTAAATGATTTAATCATGTAATGATGTAAATAGATACTTGACATGGCTGCAACGATGATTGTTGAGTTGTTATGACTGATCTTTGTTGATCTGATGATCGATTATATGGGCATTGTTGAATGACATGCATAAAGTGCTGCGGTGATAAATCAAAGAGTGATAGTTGGGGTATTTCAAATGTATCATTAATCACTCTTGATGATTGTTGACATGTTTGCATATCTGACTGTGATACCTGTAAAATTCCTAAGGGTACACCTATTGATGCACATGGAATAAATTGTGCAAATAATGGTCGTTGAACTGTTGGTTGTGTGGGTGATTGTTGAATGATTTGCTGTTGTTCGTTTGATTGTTGTTGTGTACGTTGATTGAATAGCAAATTATTGTCAAAATTTGTTCTCCTTGATTCCAGTATTGGTTGCAACGATATTTGCGGAAACATTTGTTGAATGAGTTGTAGAATTGTTTGTTGAGATGAGAGAGATGATTGATTTGATTGCATTTGTTGCATCATTTGTCGTGTTTCCTGTGATAATCCGGTATCAAATGAACTTCTCGACTGATTTGATTGTTGTGGCAGTGGTAGTGATTGTTCAGTTGATTGCATTTGTTGTACTGGTATCCGATTAACTGGTCGTAATATCGATGTTTGTTGCGGTATTTGTTGCAATGAATGTTGTTGTTGTTGTTGTTGCTGTTGGTGTTGTTGATGGTGTTGATGCTCTTGTTGTTGCTGCTGTTGTCGCTGTTGCTCCTGTTCCGGACGGAATGGTTCCGATGTAGCGGAAGATTGTTGAAGGACTTGAACAAGCATTGGTTGTGTTTGCTGAAGTGACTGTTGTGATGGTAATGTTGGTATTTGCTGTGATAATCGTAGCAATAGCTGTTGTATTGCTGTGCTATTTTGTTGTTGAGAAATTTGTTGTGATTGTAGTAGGGATTGATTTATTTGTTGTGATGATTGGGTAATTAAATGATTATTTTGGGAATTTGATTGCTGAAGGAATGGTTGCGAAGCACTTTGCATATGTGTTTGTTGTTGTTGTTGTTGTTGTTGAGATTGTTGTGGTGTTAAATTTGAATTTGCTTGTGATTGAGGAAATTGTCGAAACATTTGCGCATTTGTACTATTGCTAGTACTGCTAGGAGTTAGCACATGAAACATTGATTGCAATTGTTGAGATGGCATTTGTGGCAATTGTTGTTGTGCATTTGCTTGCTGAATTAGTTCGGTTGATTGTTGATTAGCTTGCATAGGTAATTGTATGACAAATTGATTTCGATCCAAATATCGTTGCTGTGCTGCTTGTATTCGTTGAAGTGCATGCCGAAGAGTCATCCGTAAATATGGTTGTTGAATAGCTGATGCTGATGATGGCATAAACATTTCTTGAAGTTCATCTGCACTCATATTCTCAATGATTCGTCGAGATGAATCTGAGATTGCGTATTCCCGTGTCAATAATTCCGGAATTGATGGCACATTCTGGTCGTATGAAAAATGTATCCTTAATTGTTGCGGTGATTGAGAAAATATTTGTTGTTGTGATGTATTTTCTCCTTCTTCTTGAGTTACACGAAATGTTTCTCGAGATGATTGCTCAGACATTTGCTGACAATCAATTTATCCGTAACGGTAATCCCGTAATTGTTTACACCGGTTATAGATAAACTGCGCAAGCTATCCTTTTGTTTTAATGAATAATTAATTAATTAATTATAGTTTCTATCCTTCTTATATCGTTTGTTGTTAACCTGTAATTAACATCCCTTTCTTAAAAATTTCATTAAGAAAAAAAAAAAAAAGTTAAATCTTCACGAAAAAAAAAAACAAACAAATAAATTCATACGTTAATATTTATAATAATTTCACTTATGAATTTTTTAAAAAAAATATCAAAAATAACAAATCATTAAAAAATTAGAAATAAAAATATGAAAACATTTACAAAAATAAGCGTTTTAAAATCTATTTTTTGTAAAGTTTTTTTTTTTTTCCACCATGAAATTTCTAATTTTTAAACTCTTTGAATATGAATTAATAGGAAATTATAGGACTAAATGATATTAAATTTTAATAACAAATGTTTGCTAATTAATAAAAAAAAGAAAGAAGAATGAATTAAATAATACTAATTAATGAAGAATTGGAGCAAATTGAAGAACAATTTTATAATTGTAATTAATAGAAAAAAATATGGAAGTTTGATGAAAATAATTGCAAAGAATTTATTATTGCATTAAAATAAAAAAAAAAAAAAAAATGATATGATAAAATATTGTAACAGATATATGCTTGATAAAACTAATAATCAGTGCTTTTTTTTTTTTGTTTTTTTAGCTGAAAAAATTTCATTTATACTTTTATATTGATAAGAAATATTTATGGAATGAATAATTTTTTGAAACAAATCCATTCTAAGCATCAAATTAATTAAATTATTCTAATTGCATTAATCAAATACACAAATAAAAATATGAAAATTTGCAATTTATACTGTAATTAATGAAATGGAAATTTTAATTTCATTGAGATGATGAATTTTTTAATTAAATCTCATCCTGCAAAAATTCTTTTTTCTTTAATTCCTTTTTTTTCAGAACGTGAACGTTCAGGTTCCTGTTAGTAAATTTAGCCAGGAAAATTGAAAAATAGAAGGGGTTAATTTTAATTTATTTGATTGATATTTTGTACAATAAAATATTTCTTATTAGCTAGCAAAATTTATTAATTATTGTGAAAAGAAAAGAATGAAATTTTCTGTTACATTCTTTTTTCATAATAGCAAATACATATATAATCTATAAATTTCAAAATTCTAATGCTTTTATTTTCGAATTGTAAAATAAAATTAACTGATAAAAATGAAAATTGAAAAAAAAGGAAAAAATTTTTAGGAACAACCAAAAAAATATTCTATAATATGAAAATTAAATTAATTTAACCACTTACTATATGTAATAAGTAAAATAATTTTTGAAAATATAACTTTCAAAATTATGCAAATAGTCGTTAAATCTTAATGAATAATTAGTTTAATCATTTATTATGTAGGACAGATGAAATAATTTTTTCAAATTTGTTTTTTTTTTTTTTTTTTTTTTTTTTTGGAAACTTGTTGCTAGAACTTCAAATAAATAATTCAAAATTTTTAGATTGATGACTAATTAATTTAAATGAAAGCAATAAAAGAAGTAAATAAAATTTTTGAAAACATAATTTTAAGAAAGTACTAAAATGCGTAAATAGTAAAAATACTTTGAAGAAAAATTTTATAAAAAAGAAATAAATGTTTGAAAATGCAATTGCAATATGAGAAAGAAATGAGATAAGAAATTAAGAAAACGAAAAAATAAGTATAAAATGAATAAATAAATGAATGTATCGATGAGAAGAAGTTATACTTTCATTATTAAATTGTAACGATTAGTTGCGGTCATCTGAATATTTCGAACTGGAATGTGATAGATTATTGACCAGGTAGGTTATTAATGAGGATAGCCAGGTGGGTTATTACTCCAGGTAGGTTATTATTGAGGATGACCAGGTAAGTTATTACTGAGGATGACCAGGTAGGTTATTACTGAGGATGACCAGGTAGGTTATTACTGAGGATGACCAGGTAAGTTATTATTGAGGATGACCAGGTAGGTTATTGTTGAGGATGGCCAAATAAGTTGGTACTGAGGATGACCAAATAAGTTGTTACTGAGGATGACCAAATAAGTTGTTACTGAGGATGACCAAATAAGTTGGTACTGAGGATGACCAAATAAGTTGTTACTGAGGATGACCAAATAAGTTGTTACTGAGGATGACCAAATAAGTTGTTACTGAGGATGACCAAATAAGTTGTTACTGAGGATGACCAAATAAGTTGTTACTGAGGATGACCAAATAAGTTGTTACTGAGGATGACCAAATAAGTTGGTACTGAGGATGATCAAATAAGTTGTTACTGAGGATGACCAAACAAGTTGGTACTGAGGATGACCAAATAAGTTGTTACTGAGGATGACCAAATAAGTTGTTACTGAGGATGACCAAATAAGTTGTTACTGAGGATGACCAAATAAGTTGTTACTGAGGATGACCAAATAAGTTGTTACTGAGGATGACCAAATAAGTTGGTACTGAGGATGACCCTTCACATTACGTAATAGTAAAGGAATGAAATGGGAGGAATATGGCATCAACAGCTTCTCCCTCCAATTTTTGTACTGACCCTATAATTGACCTCTGACACCTAGCATCTTTAATCAATAGAAATGCATCCGCTTTTGATGATGACAATAATAACAATAACAACAATAATAATAAGTAGAATAAGTAATAATAATATTAACAATAAGTAATAATAATGATAACAATAAGTATTAATAATAATAATGAATTGAAATTATTAATAAGCAAGTGTTAAATATATATTACATATAAATATTTCTCGATGAATTATTTTATTAATTAAACAGAAAAAAAAATTAATTAACAATGGTTTTTTAAAATATTTTCAACGTTTTATTAGAATGTGAATTTTTAATTTAATAATATATGCAAAAGAATTTTTAACTTTTAATTTTTAAAAACAAACAAGCATATTTGAATGTATTTTCATCGTCTCTTTTTCAAATTAAATTTTTCAAAAAACAAAATTACAAAAATATTGCAAAATTTATTATCAATTTATATTCAACAAAAAAAAAAAAAAAAGTGGAGATTTTTTTAAATATAAAATTATTTATAAATTTTATATTTTATAAATTAACGTTTAGTCATTTTTTTTTTTTTTGCTACCCTTTAGTTTTTTGTAATTTTTTTTACTCAAATGATGATAATCGATTAAAAGAAAAGCCATTTTTGAGATAAAAAAAAAGAGGAGTAGAAGAAAGAGAGAGAGAGAGGGAGAGAGAAAATGAGACAAGGAAGAGAAAATGAATAAAGAGGTTGTGCAAATCATATTGAAACATTAATTTCAATACTTTTGAGATTATTCTTTTTTCTTTCTTTTTCTTTTGGTATTTTTATAAAAAAAGTGGGAGAGAGAGAGAGAGGGAGAGAGTGATAAAGGAAGAAAATATCATCATTTATAGTTTTATATGACTTATGTTAAAAATGTAATTATCATCGATAGATTGACAGCTGCTATTGCATACGACAAATGGTACCACAAAATTGTGAAGGTCATTTGATGGTGAAAGAAGAATTAAATCGTTGATCGGTTAGGATAATATTGCAACAATCTGTGTTCTCATTTCTTTTTTTTTTTTAAATTTCATTTGTTACTACTAATAACTTATATTTGTGTCAACCAGCTGCTTTTAATCAATGAAAATTTTCACTTTCAATCATTTTTCTTTTTTTTTTTTTTTTTTTTTTCTAAATAAACTCGAAGGTTAGATAAATTTATAAATGCTAATTGTAAGTATGCATTGTATCACATATATAAAGCATACAAGCTATTTGAATAACGTTTATATCAAATTTGAAATAATATTTGAATAACGTTTATATCAAATTTGAAATAATATTTGAATAACGTTTATATCAAATTTGAAATAATATTTGAATAACGTTTATATCAAATTTGAAATAATATTTGAATAACGTTTATATCAAATTTGAAATAATATTTGAATAACGTTTATATCAAATTTGAAATAATATTTGAATAACGTTTATATCAAATTTGAAATAATATTTGAATAACGTTTATATCAAATTTGAAATAATATTTGAATAACGTTTATATCAAATTTGAAATAATATTTGAATAACGTTTATATCAAATTTGAAATAATATTTGAATAACGTTTATATCAAATTTGAAATTATATTTGAATAATGCTTATATCAAATTTGAAATAATATTTGAATAACGTTTATATCAAATTTGAAATAATATTTGAATAACGTTTATATCAAATTTGAAATAATATTTGAATAACGTTTATATCAAATTTGAAATAATATTTGAATAACGTTTATATCAAATTTGAAATAATATTTGAATAACGTTTATATCAAATTTGAAATAATATTTGAATAACGTTTATATCAAATTTGAAATAATATTTGAATAACGTTTATATCAAATTTGAAATAATATTTGAATAACGTTTATATCAAATTTGAAATAATATTTGAATAACGTTTATATCAAATTTGAAATAATATTTGAATAACGTTTATATCAAATTTGAAATAATATTTGAATAACGTTTATATCAAATTTGAAATAATATTTGAATAACGTTTATATCAAATTTGAAATAATATTTGAATAACGTTTATATCAAATTTGAAATAATATTTGAATAACGTTTATATCAAATTTGAAATAATATTTGAATAACGTTTATATCAAATTTGAAATAATATTTGAATAATGCTTATATCAAATTTGAAATAATATTTGAATAACGTTTATATCAAATTTGAAATAATATTTGAATAACGTTTATATCAAATTTGAAATAATATTTGAATAACGTTTATATCAAATTTGAAATAATATTTGAATAACGTTTATATCAAATTTGAAATTATATTTGAATAATGCTTATATCAAATTTGAAATTATATTTGAATAATGTTTATATCAAATTTGAAATTATATTTGAATAATGTTTATATCAAATTTGAAATAATATTTGAATAATGTTTATATCAAATTTGAAATAATATTTGAATAATGTTTGTATGAAATTTGAAATTATATTTGAATAATGCTTATATCAAATTTGAAATAATATTTGAGTATTGTTTATATCAAATTTGAAATTATATTTGAATAATGTTTATATCAAATTTGAAATAATATTTGAATAATGTTTATATCAAATTTGAAATAATATTTGAATAATGTTTGTATCAAATTTGAAATTATATTTGAATAATGCTTATATCAAATTTGAAATAATATTTGAATAACGTTTATATCAAATTTGAAATAATATTTGAATAACGTTTATATCAAATTTGAAATTATATTTGAATAATGCTTATATCAAATTTGAAATTATATTTGAATAATGTTTATATCAAATTTGAAATTATATTTGAATAATGTTTATATCAAATTTGAAATAATATTTGAATAATGTTTATATCAAATTTGAAATAATATTTGAATAATGTTTGTATGAAATTTGAAATTATATTTGAATAATGCTTATATCAAATTTGAAATAATATTTGAGTATTGTTTATATCAAATTTGAAATTATATTTGAATAATGTTTATATCAAATTTGAAATAATATTTGAATAATGTTTATATCAAATTTGAAATAATATTTGAATAATGTTTGTATCAAATTTGAAATTATATTTGAATAATGCTTATATCAAATTTGAAATAATATTTGAATAACGTTTATATCAAATTTGAAATAATATTTGAATAATGTTTATATCAAATTTGAAATTATATTTGAATAACGTTTATATTAAATCTGAAATAAGTATTGAGTTTTTTTCTTTGATTTTTTTTTTAACAAATGCAAAATTTTGTAACAATGAGATAGATCTAAAGCACTTTTTGCAATTTCAAAAATTACTTTTTTGAAGTGCACTATTTTTGTGAAAAGTTTAAAAATTCTAAAAGTGGTTTTTGAAAAAAAAGTGTTATTATCTTATTTTAGTTTATTTATTTTTCATTATTTTAGTTTATGTGATTTTTGTACAAAACTTAAATTATTTCATAATTATTCGCAATATTTGTGAAAAATTTTTTTTAATGATTGCGAATAAAAGAAAAAAAGAAGAAAAAATCATTCTAGACTTTTTTATCAGAAATGATTAAATACAGATCTTTTGTCAGAAGTGATTAAATCTAGATGTTTTATCAAATTACTTATTTACAATTAGATAAATAGACAACTCACATTGTGATCTATTTTTTATTGACATATCTGTGATAAGATTAAAATAAATCAACTCTAAGATAAACTGAATCAATTCCAATCAACAGATTTATCCAGAAATTATTTAATCGATTAAGACTGATATGATAGTACATCGATATCATCTTTAATAATGTTAGTCATTTAATGAACTTTATCTAACTATCTTTCATTTTTGATTTTAAATGTTTAAAAAGCACTCATTTCAAAACAGAAAAAATGTCAGTACGAAATGATAATTTCCATTAGTCTTTCAAAAATTTGGAACAGACCGCAGTAATGATGAATGCAACTTGATATCTTTCATTGGAAGGAACTCAACTAGCTGCTATAATCAGTCAGGAATATCAGATAAATTTTTTCCTTAAATAGCATTTCTTATATGCTTGTATATACTTGTGATAGCATCAAACAAAAGCGCTTAATCCAATTTTTGACGTAATTAGCAGCATTGTACATAATGAAAACTATTCAGATGATGATAAACAACAGAAGTTAATACTTATACTTTATTTACCAAATTAATAAGCCAACATGAACAGATAACTGTAATTATAAAACTAGGCAAACCGCCTAGGGCAAGAATAAAATTTTTTGCTTAGTAAATAGCATTGCTATCATCCACTTCTTCCGGATAACGATCTTTCACCTGCAATAGTTAAAACATAGAATATAAAAAAATCACGAAATTTATAGAATATACTGGCTTATATTTATTCTATTTTAACGAGATGAATTCTTCAATCTGTGAATTCGTCTAAAGTAAGGAGTGAAGAAAAGATGAAATGAGTATACAATTTGCAATCTATTTGATTAATTCTATGACTCACAAAGAGTTCACATATTTTCAGTGCAAATATAAAACACTCTTATTGTTCTCTTTATCTGAATTCTTCTTATACCTATGTCTTCGTAGTGTAACTCTTACATTATTTCTTTCTTTCATAAAAATTCCTAAATTTATATATATTTTACCTCCAAATCCTCGCCATGCTGTATTGTGTTATCAATGAGTAATAGAAGATCACTGATCGATTCATCGTCTCCAATATCTAACGGGACAAAGCGTACCTCAAAAAATACTGTTTATAGAAACGTTTTCAGAATGATAAAATAATCCAGGAGATCTCTCTAAAATGATATTGGAAGAAATAAATGATAGAAAAACAGATGTACCTAAAAAGCAATAGTACAAATGTTTTCAGGGAATATCTGAAGCTGACACTATGTTTTAAAGTTATAAAACTTTCATCACAATAAAACTTTTCAAACAGCAATAATTTGCCATAAAGATACATACAAGACTATAATCATCCAAAACTTCGGCAATGATGTGTGAAAGTTGTCGGTACTTTTCATTCCAAGGTGAGGTAACTTCACTGTCCAGAATAGAGCGAACGTCAGTCTCTGTTGTTGCTGCTGCTGTTGTCGCTGTTGCTCCTGTTCCGGACGGAATGGTTCCGATGTAGCGGAAGATTGTTGAAGGACTTGAACAAGCATTGGTTGTGTTTGCTGAAGTGACTGTTGTGATGGTAATGTTGGTATTTGCTGTGATAATCGTAGCAATAGCTGTTGTATTGCTGTGCTATTTTGTTGTTGAGAAATTTGTTGTGATTGTAGTAGGGATTGATTTATTTGTTGTGATGATTGGGTAATTAAATGATTATTTTGGGAATTTGATTGCTGAAGGAATGGTTGCGAAGCACTTTGCATATGTGTTTGTTGTTGTTGTTGTTGTTGTTGAGATTGTTGTGGTGTTAAATTTGAATTTGCTTGTGATTGAGGAAATTGTCGAAACATTTGCGCATTTGTACTATTGCTAGTACTGCTAGGAGTTAGCACATGAAACATTGATTGCAATTGTTGAGATGGCATTTGTGGCAATTGTTGTTGTGCATTTGCTTGCTGAATTAGTTCGGTTGATTGTTGATTAGCTTGCATAGGTAATTGTATGACAAATTGATTTCGATCCAAATATCGTTGCTGTGCTGCTTGTATTCGTTGAAGTGCATGCCGAAGAGTCATCCGTAAATATGGTTGTTGAATAGCTGATGCTGATGATGGCATAAACATTTCTTGAAGTTCATCTGCACTCATATTCTCAATGATTCGTCGAGATGAATCTGAGATTGCGTATTCCCGTGTCAATAATTCCGGAATTGATGGCACATTCTGGTCGTATGAAAAATGTATCCTTAATTGTTGCGGTGATTGAGAAAATATTTGTTGTTGTGATGTATTTTCTCCTTCTTCTTGAGTTACACGAAATGTTTCTCGAGATGATTGCTCAGACATTTGCTGACAATCAATTTATCCGTAACGGTAATCCCGTAATTGTTTACACCGGTTATAGATAAACTGCGCAAGCTATCCTTTTGTTTTAATGAATAATTAATTAATTAATTATAGTTTCTATCCTTCTTATATCGTTTGTTGTTAACCTGTAATTAACATCCCTTTCTTAAAAATTTCATTAAGAAAAAAAAAAAAAAGTTAAATCTTCACGAAAAAAAAAAAAACAAACAAATAAATTCATACGTTAATATTTATAATAATTTCACTTATGAATTTTTTAAAAAAAATATCAAAAATAACAAATCATTAAAAAATTAGAAATAAAAATATGAAAACATTTACAAAAATAAGCGTTTTAAAATCTATTTTTTGTAAAGTTTTTTTTTTTTCCACCATGAAATTTCTAATTTTTAAACTCTTTGAATATGAATTAATAGGAAATTATAGGACTAAATGATATTAAATTTTAATAACAAATGTTTGCTAATTAATAAAAAAAAGAAAGAAGAATGAATTAAATAATACTAATTAATGAAGAATTGGAGCAAATTGAAGAACAATTTTATAATTGTAATTAATAGAAAAAAATATGGAAGTTTGATGAAAATAATTGCAAAGAATTTATTATTGCATTAAAATAAAAAAAAAAAAAAAAAAATGATATGATAAAATATTGTAACAGATATATGCTTGATAAAACTAATAATCAGTGCTTTTTTTTTTGTTTTTTTAGCTGAAAAAATTTCATTTATACTTTTATATTGATAAGAAATATTTATGGAATGAATAATTTTTTGAAACAAATCCATTCTAAGCATCAAATTAATTAAATTATTCTAATTGCATTAATCAAATACACAAATAAAAATATGAAAATTTGCAATTTATACTGTAATTAATGAAATGGAAATTTTAATTTCATTGAGATGATGAATTTTTTAATTAAATCTCATCCTGCAAAAATTCTTTTTTCTTTAATTCCTTTTTTTTCAGAACGTGAACGTTCAGGTTCCTGTTAGTAAATTTAGCCAGGAAAATTGAAAAATAGAAGGGGTTAATTTTAATTTATTTGATTGATATTTTGTACAATAAAATATTTCTTATTAGCTAGCAAAATTTATTAATTATTGTGAAAAGAAAAGAATGAAATTTTCTGTTACATTCTTTTTTCATAATAGCAAATACATATATAATCTATAAATTTCAAAATTCTAATGCTTTTATTTTCGAATTGTAAAATAAAATTAACTGATAAAAATGAAAATTGAAAAAAAAGGAAAAAATTTTTAGGAACAACCAAAAAAATATTCTATAATATGAAAATTAAATTAATTTAACCACTTACTCTATGTAATAAGTAAAATAATTTTTGAAAATATAACTTTCAAAATTATGCAAATAGTCGTTAAATCTTAATGAATAATTAGTTTAATCATTTATTATGTAGGACAGATGAAATAATTTTTTCAAATTTGTTTTCTTTTTTTTTTTTTTTTTTTTTGGAAACTTGTTGCTAGAACTTCAAATAAATAATTCAAAATTTTTAGATTGATGACTAATTAATTTAAATGAAAGCAATAAAAGAAGTAAATAAAATTTTTGAAAACATAATTTTAAGAGAGTACTAAAATGCGTAAATAGTAAAAATACTTTGAAGAAAAATTTTATAAAAAAGAAATAAATGTTTGAAAATGCAATTGCAATATGAGAAAGAAATGAGATAAGAAATTAAGAAAACGAAAAAATAAGTATAAAATGAATAAATAAATGAATGTATCGATGAGAAGAAGTTATACTTTCATTATTAAATTGTAACGATTAGTTGCGGTCATCTGAATATTTCGAACTGGAATGTGATAGATTATTGACCAGGTAGGTTATTAATGAGGATAGCCAGGTGGGTTATTACTCCAGGTAGGTTATTATTGAGGATGACCAGGTAAGTTATTACTGAGGATGACCAGGTAGGTTATTACTGAGGATGACCAGGTAGGTTATTACTGAGGATGACCAGGTAAGTTATTATTGAGGATGACCAGGTAGGTTATTGTTGAGGATGGCCAAATAAGTTGGTACTGAGGATGACCAAATAAGTTGTTACTGAGGATGACCAAATAAGTTGTTACTGAGGATGACCAAATAAGTTGGTACTGAGGATGACCAAATAAGTTGTTACTGAGGATGACCAAATAAGTTGTTACTGAGGATGACCAAATAAGTTGTTACTGAGGATGACCAAATAAGTTGTTACTGAGGATGATCAAATAAGTTGGTACTGAGGATGACCAAATAAGTTGTTACTGAGGATGACCAAATAAGTTGTTACTGAGGATGACCAAATAAGTTGTACTGAGGATGACCAAATAAGTTGTTACTGAGGATGACCAAATAAGTTGTTACTGAGGATGACCAAATAAGTTGGTACTGAGGATGACCAAATAAGTTGTTACTGAGGATGACCAAATAAGTTGTTACTGAGGATGACCAAATAAGTTGTTACTGAGGATGACCAAATAAGTTGTTACTGAGGATGACCAAATAAGTTGTTACTGAGGATGACCAAATAAGTTGGTACTGAGGATGACCCTTCACATTACGTAATAGTAAAGGAATGAAATGGGAGGAATATGGCATCAACAGCTTCTCCCTCCAATTTTTGTACTGACCCTATAATTGACCTCTGACACCTAGCATCTTTAATCAATAGAAATGCATCCGCTTTTGATGATGACAATAATAACAATAACAACAATAATAATAAGTAGAATAAGTAATAATAATATTAACAATAAGTAATAATAATGATAACAATAAGTATTAATAATAATAATGAATTGAAATTATTAATAAGCAAGTGTTAAATATGTTAAATATATATTACATATAAATATTTCTCGATGAATTATTTTATTAATTAAACAGAAAAAAAAATTAATTAACAATGGTTTTTTAAAATATTTTCTACGTTTTAATAGAATGTGAATTTTTAATTTAATAATATATGCAAAAGAATTTTTAACTTTTAATTTTTAAAAACAAACAAACATATTTGAATGTATTTTCATCGTCTCTTTTTCAAATTAAATTTTTCAAAAAACAAAATTACAAAAATATTGCAAAATTTATTATCAATTTATATTCAACAAAAAAAAAAGTGGAGATTTTTTTAAATATAAAATTATTTATAAATTTTATATTTTATAAATTAACGTTTAGTCATTTTTTTTTTTGCTACCCTTTAGTTTTTTGTAATTTTTTTTACTCAAATGATGATAATCGATTAAAAGAAAAGCCATTTTTGAGATAAAAAAAAGAGGAGTAGAAGAAAGAGAGAGAGAGAGGGAGAGAGAGGGAGAGAGAAAATGAGACAAGGAAGAGAAAATGAATAAAGAGGTTGTGCAAATCATATTGAAACATTAATTTCAATACTTTTGAGATTATTCTTTTTTCTTTCTCTTTCTTTTGGTATTTTTATAAAAAAAGAGGGAGGGAGGGAGAGAGAGAGGGAGGGAGAGAGAGAGAGAGGGAAACATTAATTTCAATACTTTTGAGATTATTCTTTTTTCTTTCTTTTTCTTTTGGTATTTTTATAAAAAAAGTGGGAGAGAGAGAGAGAGAGAGAGAGAGGGAGAGAGTGATAAAGGAAGAAAATATCATCATTTATAGTTTTATATGACTTATGTTAAAAATGTAATTATCATCGATAGATTGACAGCTGCTATTGCATACGACAAATGGTACCACAAAATTGTGAAGGTCATTTGATGGTGAAAGAAGAATTAAATCGTTGATCGGTTAGGATAATATTGCAACAATCTGTGTTCTCATTTCTTTTTTTTTTTAAATTTCATTTGTTACTACTAATAACTTATATTTGTGTCAACCAGCTGCTTTTAATCAATGAAAATTTTCACTTTCAATCATTTTTCTTTTTTTTTTTTTTTTTTCTAAATAAACTCGAAGGTTAGATAAATTTATAAATGCTAATTGTAAGTATGCATTGTATCACATATATAAAGCATACAAGCTATTTGAATAACGTTTATATCAAATTTGAAATAATATTTGAATAACGTTTATATCAAATTTGAAATAATATTTGAATAACGTTTATATCAAATTTGAAATAATATTTGAATAACGTTTATATCAAATTTGAAATAATATTTGAATAACGTTTATATCAAATTTGAAATAATATTTGAATAACGTTTATATCAAATTTGAAATAATATTTGAATAACGTTTATATCAAATTTGAAATAATATTTGAATAACGTTTATATCAAATTTGAAATAATATTTGAATAACGTTTATATCAAATTTGAAATAATATTTGAATAACGTTTATATCAAATTTGAAATAATATTTGAATAACGTTTATATCAAATTTGAAATAATATTTGAATAACGTTTATATCAAATTTGAAATAATATTTGAATAACGTTTATATCAAATTTGAAATTATATTTGAATAATGCTTATATCAAATTTGAAATTATATTTGAATAATGTTTATATCAAATTTGAAATTATATTTGAATAATGTTTATATCAAATTTGAAATTATATTTGAATAATGTTTATATCAAATTTGAAATTATATTTGAATAATGTTTATATCAAATTTGAAATTATATTTAAATATTGTTTATATCAATTTGAAATTATATTTGAATAATGTTTATATCAAATTTAAAATAATATTTGAATAATGTTTATATCAAATCTGAAATAAGTATTGAGTTTTTTTCTTTGATTTTTTTTTTAACAAATGCAAAATTTTGTAACAATGAGATAGATCTAAAGCACTTTTTGCAATTTCAAAAATTACTTTTTTGAAGTGCACTATTTTTGTGAAAAGTTTAAAAATTCTAAAAGTGGTTTTTGAAAAAAAAGTGTTATTATCTTATTTTAGTTTATTTATTTTTCATTATTTTAGTTTATGTGATTTTTGTACAAAACTTAAATTATTTCATAATTATTCGCAATATTTGTGAAAAATTTTTTTTAATGATTGCGAATAAAAGAAAAAAAGAAGAAAAAATCATTCTAGACTTTTTTATCAGAAATGATTAAATACAGATCTTTTGTCAGAAGTGATTAAATCTAGATGTTTTATCAAATTACTTATTTACAATTGGATAAATAGACAACTCACATTGTGATCTATTTTTTATTGACATATCTGTGATATGATTAAAATAAATCAACTCTAAGATAAACTGAATCAATTCCAATCAACAGATTTATCCAGAAATTATTTAATCGATTAAGACTGATATGATAGTACATCGATATCATCTTTAATAATGTTAGTCATTTAATGAACTTTATCTAACTATCTTTCATTTTTGATTTTAAATGTTTAAAAGGCACTCATTTCAAAAAAGAAAAAATTTCAGTACGAAATGATAATTTCCATTAGTCATTCAAAAATTTGGAACAGACCGCAGTAATGATGAATGCAACTTGATATTACTCCTGGAAGGAACTCAACTAGCTGCTATAATCAGTCAGGAATATCAGATAAATTTTTTCCTTAAATAGCATTTCTTATATGCTTGTATATACTTGTGATAGCATCAAACAAAAGCGCTTAATCCAATTTTTGACGTAATTAGCAGCATTGTACATAATGAAAACTATTCAGATGATGATAAACAACAGAAGTTAATACTTATACTTTATTTACCAAATTAATAAGCCAACATGAACAGATAACTGTAATTATAAAACTAGGCAAACCGCCTAGGGCAAGAATAAAATTTTTTGCTTAGTAAATAGCATTGCTATCATCCACTTCTTCCGGATAACGATCTTTCACCTGCAATAGTTAAAACATAGAATATAAAAAAATCACGAAATTTATAGAATATACTGGCTTATATTTATTCTATTTTAACGAGATGAATTCTTCAATCTGTGAATTCGTCTAAAGTAAGGAGTGAAGAAAAGATGAAATGAGTATACAATTTGCAATCTATTTGATTAATTCTATGACTCACAAAGAGTTCACATATTTTCAGTGCAAATATAAAACACTCTTATTGTTCTCTTTATCTGGATTCTTAAATACCTATGTCTTCGTAGTGTAACTCTTACATTATTTCTTTCTTTCATAAAAATTCCTAAATTTATATATATTTTACCTCCAAATCCTCGCCATGCTGTATTGTGTTATCAATGAGTAATAGAAGATCACTGATCGATTCATCGTCTCCAATATCTAACGGGACAAAGCGTACCTCAAAAAATACTGTTTATAGAAACGTTTTCAGAATGATAAAATAATCCAGGAGATCTCTCTAAAATGATATTGGAAGAAATAAATGATAGAAAAACAGATAAAGATACATACAAGACTATAATCATCCAAAACTTCGGCGATGGTGTGTGAAAGTTGTCGGTACTTTTCATTCCAAGGTGAGGTATCTTCACTGTCCAGAATAGAGCGAACGTCAGTCTCCAAAAAAGCTTCCAGCAGTTCTTTATTACGATTTGATAATAAATCCACTTTTGATAAAACATTTACTGCTGGAACCTGTAAGTAGAATGAGTTGCTAAATTATACTTATACTAAATATTATAAAAAACTAAAAGCAAATATGAGATTTAAATAATTCACGATTCTCCATTATCAACAGTTTTCATTAATATAAACAAGCTGAACTGCAATAAAACTTCACCTCCATTGCAACCATAGTCGAAAGAGTCGTTAGTGCACCACCTAAGAATTTGTTACAATCCAAAACAAACTGTGTGTCAAGAAGGAACACAGAACATATATTAAAATCCCACGATTTCAACGCGTTAACAATTTGCCTCATTACCGGCAAATGACTGTAAAGCTCAATTTGACCTGGAAGAAAAATCTTAATGAATACCCTAAAATAGCCTAAAATAGTTTTAACTGTTAATGATGATTCACTCAAATACCTTGCCTGAAAGGAAGGTTTTGTGCAAGTGCTTCCGGAAAGCAGATATTACGCATCAAAATATCAACTACCTTACCTTAACTTCATTCTTGCTGGGAAAATAATCTGTATTACAAATTACAGTGAAACAAAAGATATAATGAGAATCTAATGGAGTTAAATAAAAACCTGGACAATCAAAGATGAAATAATCATCCTCTCCTTCATTCAACTGATCATGAAGCCAATCTAAATTTTGAACGAGATATTCCATGCAAAATACCAAGGCACCATTTGGGCCAAGTAACAACTGCTTATCTTCTTGTACATCGTCCACACTGATTAACTCTCGAACATCTAACATATAAATTGATTGTATAAATTTACCATTAAAGCTGATCAATGAATGTTTACGATCTTCTATTTCATAATAAGAAATTGATAAGAAAAAAAAGTTAATGAAAAGATCAATTCCGAAAAACTAGTAGGTAGTATTGTCAATCTCAGAAATTTAGTGATAAAGTTCAAAAATTAAGGGAAAAAAAAAAAGGCGTAGTACTGTTAATCAAAAAAATTAAAGGAAAAGTAAGCAAGACAAACGAACCAATGGCAGCAGTGTAACTAAATTTCTCGGCCGCAGGATCCAAATTAATAAAGAAAACGTTACGACCTACGGATAGACAATGTTGCTGTACCACAGAACAATATGTGGACTAAAAAGGTTCCATGTAAATGATTATTAAATATATACAAAACGAAAATATTTATTCAAAGGTTCTCTTATAGTATGAATGCAATAATCTTTTTCCAAAGATAGTAAATTTTCAAAATTATTCAAATTTTTTAGTAATATTTTCATACAGGAAGCTTATTGATTATATAAAATCACTCTAACTAAAAATGAACCTTGCCACTCCCTGCCGGACCAACAACCAACTGTGCGTATTTCATCACAATCAATCAGTGTTCATCGTCAGTTTCCAAATTTTCTGATACATCAACTAAAGTCTGACATCAACTTAAATGAAGAAATGACATTTTTTTTTTACACCATACAAAAACTTCGGTATGATCTATTACACCGAAAAAACGGCAAATTTTAATACAAATATCTACGACTAAGTTCGCAATCAATTTTATTGACACTCAAACAAATTATGAATATAATTATCGATACGATTATCTGTATTACTACAAAATGATCGAAAATCTGACAGCATATAGTCTTGAAAGTCTTCTGAGCAATTCCTGAAAACAAAGTATAAGAGTTTCGCTCAGTGTATTGGCTAATTTTAAGCATTAAACGAACTAGAATAGAAATCAATGAACTGAAATGTTTCATGAGGAAATCTCAGGTCAAATCATCCATCCATTGCACTGATGTCTCTTAGCTATATTTAAAGATTTGTTCAAAATTTTTTGAAAAAAAAAAAAAAAAAAAAAGAGAAAAAAATTACAAGTTAGCACGATATCGATGGCTGAGCATATGATTCCAAGACCAAATAAATGCCTCACGTACTTCATCATACATCAAAAACATACCACCTGTAAGGTGAACGTATTGTGGCACTTGGTGCACTGAGCAACCCATTTCAATGAATCCAAAGGCTGTGATTATGGCAGTAATAAGTTGACAAATCTAAATAGTTAGGATTTTAAAAGCATATTTATAAATTCACTGTTGAGTAAACAACCATGATGTGCAATTTTTTAAAGGTAGAGCAATAATAAAATGAATGGGGAAACATTTCAAAAAGCATTTCTAATTCCCAAGCTATTAGCAAATCAATAGCTAAGTTTTGCTAAATCAAAAATCAGCATGAAGAGTAATAATGCAAGAAAATTACAGCAAAAAATTTCACGATTTGGAAATTTCTTTTTATAAATTAACTAAATTATATAAAGCCTCACATAATGAGGATGAATTCTGTCTGGTTTGAAAGGTATAATCACAGGATACTGAAGAGGAGGTGCAAAAGGATTTAGAGGATGTGGAAAAGGATCCTCAGGTACCGGAAACATATGAAACGAAAGATTAGCCGCTTTGCTACACCAGTGACGAACGGTTTCCGCCACTGTTTGACTATTTGCCATGAACCACCGTACCCCAATTTCGAAAGACCTTGTGGCGCAAAAAGTTTTTTCATAAAAAATCTGAAATAAAGGAGAATTTGATGCAATTGTAGATTTTGAAAGTCAACAGTGCGAATTAAATTTCCACAATAAAATCCATAATCCGTTATAATGTTGGACTGAATTATGTATCAAATTAGGCGACAATGAAATCTAAAGAAATATGGTGCAACTAAAGGCAATCATACAATTATCGAAAGAAAATGTGCAAGACGAAATTTACAAAATGTTTACTTTGCCCTTCTCCATGAATTGCGGTACATTTGGTGGGAGATATTCATGTCGTCCAGAATCAGTTGTTTTTTGCAGCTGCGCATAAAACTTCATCTCTACAGAATTTAGTCTGTACGCACAATCGGCTGATGTGAGACCTGAGCACCTAAAATAGTTATTTTGTAGAAGATCGAATCAGTGATATATCAGCCAACTTACTTTTTATCAATTTCACATTGGATAACTCGTGACCAAGGTTCTTTTTCTTCGATTTTATCATCCGAAACATATTTGTTCGCAAAGTAACACAAGAAGAAGCCACAATGAAACTCTTGCCAGTGACCTTCAGTGGATATAGAAGATCCAAGATCATCTTCTAATGCTTCAACTGAAAAAGAAGAGACAAAAATCACATACAAATAAAACTGTGCTTTAATACTCAAAAGAACTATTATAAGACATATGAAGCTTCCTATCTCAGAACAATCTATCTAAACCATCTTTCTAAGCGCTAGTATCTTTCTAACCTTTTCTTTAATCAGATAAATTTTTATTGATTCCTTTTTAATGATAAAAAATATGAAGTTGCTTAACAGCATACAAAATTAGATTAAAATATTTTTTTTTTTTTAAATAAAGATAAAATATAAACTTGGTTGTAGCATTCGTATTTTCCCATCTGAAACCAAGTTTTCAGCAAATTCCACAGCAGCTTGTCGACTGGTTAGTTCGGAAACATTGGCCATTAACCAGGCAACAAATTCTACTGCTAGAAACATACAAGACGGAAATCGACTAGTGGGATCCTGCGAATAAAGTGACAAATAGCTTTCACGCCAACCATTCAACAAATCATCAACATTCTCAACGCTATATATCCGACTTTCCACATCACTTATCGAAGCCATTAATCTGGAAATTATATCACAATAACATGGTGCTACTTTTCGAGAGAAACTTCAGTGTATACTGTTATCGAAAGATCAACATTTTCATGCTTAACAATTTTTTTGAGTAATCTGCAGCACAATGCCAAATGCATAAATTTAGTGACAACCTAAACTTATCAATAACATGTAAGATTTCAAATAATAATATGCTCTTTTTACTGCAAAATTATCAATACCTTTTATGCCTTGGTGAAGTTTTCCTTCTAAATCGATTTAATACTTCAATAAATTTTAAGAACCCCTCTTCCTGTCTTCTGGAGAATGATGAATCAAAAACAGCCATATACTTGTCACCACCATTACGTTCAGTTATAATTGCCTTTGTTATTGAAGCACATAGTGGTGTTAATAAAAACCTAAACATCATAGAGATGATGCTTTAGTTAGAGAAAAATTCATTTCTACAGATAATGACATCACTTATTTATTCTAATTTTTTCATTTGTCTTTCTCCTTGTTGTATTTTCAATTTATCTTCTCTCCCTACTACATATAAATGTAAAGTAAAATAGCATTATATATCTCAACTGCGACACAATGCTAAATGCATAAATTTAGTAATCAACTAAACATTCTAACAGAATGTAAGACTTCAAACAATAATATGCACTCCTTATTGCAAAGAACTAAATAGTATGCTCTCCTTACTGCAAAAAGTAAATATATTCTGGTCTTAGAGAATACAAACTTAGAGGTGAAACAACCTCGATGCAAAACATCTCATATCGTCTTGAAACAGTCGTGGAACACAGCGATTTTGCAGTTCTGCATCAAGAAGATACCAATCCAGGTTCAACAAATCATACTTCTGAAATCTAGAAAAAAGAAACGATAAGGCGCAGAATCATCTAACAAGCATTTCCAATTTTAGTATATTCAACACCTAGTAATATCATTACTATTAGTAAGTAACAGTACAAATATGTAGAACAATGTTAAAGGATATTAAGATGGTGCATGTTTACAATATGAGAATGTTTATTAAATCATCTAAGGATCACTGTTGCCTTCAAATACTGAAAATATAAAAAAATATAAAAAAAAAATATAAAAAAAAAAATATAAAAAAAAAATAAAAAAAAAAAAAAAAATAAAGTAATAAAATAAAGAAAGAAGTACCTTGCACTACATAAAGTGTACTGAAGGTTGTCCGGTATTTGGAGCATATATACATATTCTCTTCGTTTAGCTACTTCAGGTGTTTCGTAAGGTTCCTCAACTCTTGGTGAAAATTCGGTAATAGTTATTTTTTCACTTCCCAGAAGCAAATGATGACAAATTCGATTGAATGATAAGAAACATTCGCGAAAAACCAATTTCTTATCTTCCATCCATTTTAGATGCTCTTCCTAAATAATTCACATTCGAAGAATAAAAGATATTTTAGGTTAAATATGTTTTCATTTTTAGAATGTGACAAAATCAAGTGTTTTCTGATAAATAATTGTTGGTTAAATATGATGGTTTAAACATTACACTAGCATTACATTTTGCAAAGTTTACTACCTTACCAATAACTTATAACGAATTCCACAAAGATCACTTACATTAATGCTAATAGCTTCATGTATCAACTTCTTATCTAAAACAATTATTTGAAAACCACGCTGCAATCGCTGATAAATAAGCTGATCAAAGATCAGATTTCGAAGCTGTTCTAAATCATCACACTTCCGATCTTCCAGCCATTCACGCACCAAATCAAAATGTATTGGCAATTGATGGGACTAAAACACAAAGTATATCTGGAAAAAAAAAAAAAAAGTATATCGTCTATCTGGAAAGAAATCGTTCAATAATTCCTACATTAGCTGTTTTAAAAAATATCTTTTTATTATCCTAAAAGTATTGCAATCTGAAAGTAAACCAAAAAATTCTTAATTATTCATAATCAATATATCTCTAAACAATTGCTATCCTAAGAATCTCAAACGTTCACTGGAATAATCGATAAACAGGAAATAATGAAAACAAGGAAATAAATAAATAAATAAAATACTTTAATCACATAGTCTGCATTTATGCTGCGTCTATCTGGAAAGAAATCGGTAGTTAACGGAAGAAGGGCTCCACGTATAAGCGATTTCCAGTCAACACCAATTTCCATGTCTGCATTCCATTTCTCTTCACCAGTTGAACCCCAAGCCCAAACACATCTCTTTCCTCCTGCACCTAACCCTGTAATCCTGCAAAAATAATCAGGCAAAAACCTTGTTTATAATCAAATCAAACTAATATAATTTGTACTCCTTCTGCAGTAAGTCTCTCTGTCAACTATCAACTCTCCAATTCTTTTGCGCAATAAAAAAATAAAGAAAAAAAAAACAGTTAAAAAATTAACAGTAATAACGATGGAAGCAAGAATTAATGGAGTGTATAAGGAACGAGATCTATAATCTTAAATACAACTGATATATGTGTTCCAAAATATCTAGTAAATCCTGATTTTCTGTTAAAAAAAGAAAAAAAAAAAAAAAATTAACAGAAATAAAGTTGTAAATTTCATGACACAAACCTACTATCACCAATATCGTCAAAAATTTGAGCAAAGGATGATCTACATGATACAGAACCATCAACACTAATAACTGTTTCACTTGGCTCTGGCTCATCAGCCTGTATGATATTAACGACACTTTTACCGGCTACGTAATGATGTGTTAATTTTGAACGACCGAGCTTGTCAACCGGAAACACATGAATCCAGCGACGTCGATTAGCTGTGATCGGTACTGAAAGCTATTTTGTAAAGTTGCAAGTAGAAATACTGCTAATTTTGCAATACTATATGATGCGACTGTAGAATTTACTGGTCATAAACTACACTGGATGTCATCTCTTAAATAAAATTGTGATGCTAACTATTGAAGCACTTCACATTACTCATCTTTTAATTCTACATGTAATATATCCAAATATTTTACACATTCCAAACGGATAAAAGACAATAGCAACTTGTATTAATATAATATAATTTCCTCTTTTTGTGCCAAATAACACAGACGTTCAACTGTGAAATGAATGCAACATATTCGGTATTGTTATATTATTATTATATTAATACAAGTTCAATTCTGTTTAAGATTGATTTTAAGATTGAGTATCAATTCTATTTAAAAAAAAAAAAAAAAACACAATGATTTAAAATTTTATGGCTCAGTGTGATATAATTAGTTTCTCCATTTTTTTTTTCTTTTTACAGCAACAATAACAATAAATTAGCAATTATTGCTATCAATAAAATTAGCAGAAAGAGAAAACATAAAAGAATAGTAAATAAATATTATATATAGTGATCCAATAATGTAATATAATGAACAGCAAATATAAGGAATCAATCTAATATAATTAATTGTTAAAACAATGACCAAATTCTTTGTAGGCAAGGGAAAAATTAATAAAATAAATACGTACCACTAAATTCTTCCGGTTTAAACGGATTAATTAACGGACGCCTTTCAATTACAGTCAGTGTGTCTTGTGATTTTTTGCATTCCACAGGTTCCACTAGTAAAGTAGATTCAGGAAGGCTGTTTGCAACACATTTATCGAAACTGCTCTGCCATGAAGTTTCGGCTGCCTGAAAAATTTTTTTATCAACGATCCGTATTTTCCTTTTTTTTTTTGTAGTAGATTATAATACAAGCAGAAAAGCTCTCTGAAAAGAAATCAGAAATCTACGATATTCACTTCTTCAGTAAACTAACAAAATGTTATTTTTATATAATAAATTTGTCAAATAAACCAAGAGGAAAATAAATGCGTTAATATTGCAATTTTATACTATCTAAACCGCAAACCTATCCATTTCAAGTCCATCTAAAGATGATACTAAATGCAAAAGAATGTTTTTTCCCTTGTATTTCTATATTTCCTTTTCATTACTTTACTTGTATTTGCAAGGATTTGGGTAAAATGAAAATGAGATATAAATATAGAAAAAAAGACCGAAAATACACACAAGTATGGAATCCACATGATTTGAGTTTTTCTTTAATAAAAATTCTTTTGCGAATTCTGCCGCTACATTTGCATTATTTTTCATAGAATTGCTGCTAAGAAGTGATGAAAACGCTTTTTCATCGGCAGCATCAGTATCATTAATAAGTGAACCATTCGTTTCCATAACCAGACTTTTATGAGCATCCTGTAAGGAAAATGCAAAGTTCGTTTATGTCTATGTATTTGTAATTAGATGCAAAAACAAGAAGCAAGAACTAACCCGAAGTAACTCATCTGGAAGATTAATTCTTGGTTTAAATTTGATTGATATTGCAGAACGTCGGCTCATCTGATAATATGAACAGTTCATCCAGTGAGGTATTAAATAATCTTCCGAAGAATAGATGCTGTTTGTTCTTAATTAAGAGATAATTATTAATTGGATAGAAGACAACCATTGAGTTCTAAATATCTTCAAGAGGCTAATAGAAACGAATCGAATTTGTCATGAAATCTAACAAGTGACTTATTTAGTGTAAGTTAGCCATTAAATGAAACATTGTGATAGAGAATTGGGAACTGGAAAAGCAGAAGAATATTCTTCGACAAGATAATAGATAACCTTTGAAAAACAAAAAGAGGAACAGTGTGAAGTGGTTGCTCGCCAAGACACACAAGATCCAAAGATATGCCCATATCAATGAGGCGTTGTTTAGTTATATTGACGAAATCACGATCAACATTAAAAATTCCTCCACCTGCGCTGACAAAAACGATCTGAAATTTTACTGAGCCACTATAGTTACAAAAGTCATAAATAACTACGAAACTTTTGATATATAAATATATATATATATATATATATATATATATATATATATATATATATAATATTATATAAAAAACATGAAATCTAATAGTAAAATGACAATTAGTAAATTAAAAAACATAAAACATTAAAACTACTTCAACCTGCTGTCCGACAGTTTCAAAACGACGATTGGTAAAGTACACATTAAATTCATTCATGGATAAATTGAGAACTTGTAGAAAATTACCATCAGCAGCTGTTGAAAGCACAGCAAGCTCTTTTTCATTTGTATCTACCTGAGACACATATAATTCAATTTAATATGAAAAATTTAGACTTATGCAATTACTAAAAATGATAAGTTACATTGGCAAAGTTGTAAAGGACGTACAAAGAAAATTCAAAACAAACATTTAATTGTTGGCATATGAACTCCTTCACGGTATTTTTGTATGTACTAAAGACCAATCGCAACTGCAAAATAAGATAAAAATTTCAGTAATTTTGAAAAAATATCCGTAAATAAAATGGAATGAACTGCAAACCTTCGATAAAACAGCATTTCTCCAATCATCGTAATGCTGATTTTGTACTATAATACGATAAAAATCCTGTAAAATAGGTAAAATGTCCCACACAAAACTTCGAGTTAAATGTAACAAGATTGATTTTTTTTTAAAAAATGAAAGAATTGCGCTAGCAAACAAACCTGATAATATTTTCCCCTGTAATCTATACACAATTTTTCTTTCATTCCTTCGTTTAAAAGTTCTTCATTAAAGTACCATCTGAAAAAAAAAAAAAAAAATTACTGCTGCTGTAATATCACATATTTCAGCTTCACACTTGCTCTCATATTTTGAAACGACCCCTTCTTACCTCATCATTTACCTTTCTGGCAAGGTACACTGAAATGTGAAGTGGAAATCAGTACCTCAGTGGAACCTTTAAGAAGTTGATTTGAATTTAATTCCCGATTAGGCTCTTACAACCAACATTTTAAAAAAAAAAAAACATTATAGTACTGCACAGAGGAATAAAATTAACTAAGGTGATAAAAGTAACCTTGAAGTGACAATAAATGTTATTGAATGTGCACAATGCTGCTTATTCCAGTGTTCAAACAACTGTGGAAAAAAACCATTAACACATTTTTCGAAGTAAAGATCACCGTATGGATCAAAATCCCACATTTCTGAACTCATTTGAATATATACCAGAATCTGAATTTTTTCTTACAATGATTTTGTATCCTTACAATATGAAAATTACTATATTTAATAGTTGAAATAAAATGAACTTCAAAAAAGAACAAGAGTAAATCTATAACAAAATACCATAGCGCTTGCTGAACGAAACACTATACGTGTATCCTCTGAAATATAACCACTTTTCACCTGAAAATAAACAATACAAATTAAATATATTGTCTTCAATGAATAAAACACCACTTGTATTTATTTAGCTATATTTTTTTTAACACTTCTCTCAACAATCATCATTATACATGATGATAATTTCTCGTTACTCACAAATCACTACGTTAAATGCAGAAAGAATCGTTTTTGTTAAATAATTATAGATTTTGCTAATAAAGTTTTACACACAAACATAACAAAATTCTGATCGATGAAATTAATCATCAATAAAAATCAATTTTTGTAACTGAAAAATTTTAAAAATATAACATAATCACGGAACAAAACTTATTAACCATGAAATTCATATGAAATTATTTGGCAGAATAATAGAAAGCTTACAACTTCACCCTTTGCCCAAAGACTAATAACAGTAGATGGGATTAGTAACCATTCTACTTTCTTTCCAACATATGCACATGTATCAATAAGACAATCACGATAACGCCACATATCAGATCGACTAACGTAGCGTTCTTTGATAGTGATCTCGATGTTATCCAACACTACCTAAATCAATTTCATTTTAGTTTTATTTCAAGCTATTTTTAATAAAAATCCAGTAAAAAAAAGTCATTTTCAATAGACTCAATAATTTACACTGAGTTAATTAGCTGATGAACAAGGAAAGAAACTTATTAAAACATAATTTTGTTAAAGAAAAAAGGATTACAATAAAAGACTTGTTACTTTACCTGCTTTTTTTCCACAATTTTGACCGTAACATACTGATTTTGAGAAAGAGAAAACATATCGGCAATAGCTTTCTCAATATAAATACGTTTTTCTCTGTATGTTCCACTTTCAACATCATCATGCAAATGTTGTACGTAAAATCGCTGATCCAGTGATGGTGAAATCTCTAATATATCACCCAAATGTAATCCAGGAAGATCTTTATTACTCTACAAATAAAAATAATTTTCAAATTATAACAAAAAAATAATGATGAATGAGCATATTTTGCTTTTTTTGATTTACACATAAAACGTTATAAATGGCCATATCTAAAATAATACCAGAAATAAGTTTAAAATTGATATGATATGATAAAATCAGAAAATAGCAATGAAATTGTAACATTAACATTCAAATTTAGCTAATTTAAGTTCCTGTATTTTTATGATTACACAAAACACTCGTTAATTATGTTAAATGTACTAGTTTATAAAAGAAATATCAAATTACCAATATGATGTCACATCTCTTTCCTTTGCATTTCTTATCATCTTTCTTATATAGATAAACACGAAATACGTTATCCTGTTTTGGTTTCATTTACAGCCATCTAAGCAAGCACACTTTAATCGGAATTCTGGAAATCACAAATTATTGTTGTTGTATAATTGTTGAAAACATTTAAAAAGCTTTTCAAAAATATCAAATTAGGATTCAGGAGTCTTATATGTTAATGCAAAACCTTCCATGCTTTTTTCTCTTTGTCATTTTATATATTCTCAGGTAGTTCTTTATTTATGTTAGTAGATCATTACTAAGATTCAGCGAAGTGATTTCTTCCCATCAATTCTTCCCATATTCCAGTGATCCATGTTCTCCCATATCTTTTATTTATTGAATGACTTATTCAACATGATTTCAACATATTTTCTCTTTTAGTCGAACAATGGAAGGCTAATAGAAAATTGGTAATATTCGAGAAATCCAGAAACTTTCTCGACTTCAGCATAGCATGGCAAATGAACAATGTCCATGATATTCGAGACCACATATATGTCTTTAATGATAACATCACTACATTCAATCTTTTGAAAACATCCGACTAAATTTTATCATCAGAAAACAAATCAGTTTGCCATTTTTACACTGTCTTTTTTTTGTAAATGAAAAAAGCAAATTTCCACAATGTTTATTCGAACAAAACAATCTCAACTTTAGGACGATTGTTGGCAGAAAGTAAAAAAAGAAAATATGAAAAACAAAATCACAATAGCCACAGCTACTGAGTTATACTTGAATTAACTTACAACTAATTTCTGAACAAAATGAATGCATGTTTCTAACTTAGCCGTTGTCCGTGATTTTCATTTTGGAATAACAAAAATACACAACTATCAAGGTGGATACCATATATTAAAGTTCAATGTTTCAAAAAATATATATACATGTATAATTGCTGTCGTAGTTTCCATCCTAAGTTCTCCTCCCCTTCAACAACGAATGTAATATATAAGCTTCTCAAACTGAAATAGATGAGGACACCTCATTTAATTTTAAAAAATTTTATATAATCTACATTGAGAAGTACCTGCAAAAAAAAAAAATTCATTATACCAAATCTTTCATAAAAATGAATAGCATAAAGACTATTTCGGAAATCAGTACGACCATTACCACAAATACTAAAGTACATAATCAAGCTCATATCTCACAAAATTATTCCTTTCAGTATTAGGTACTCGCGGGTATCCAGAAACCAAAGCATCTTGAGATCCTAAGATCAAATTGTTGAAGACCTGCAAATTGTAGTAAAATAAAACTGCTACCACGGCTGAAAGACCAATCAAGCGTTTTATGCATATTTTACTTGCTAAAAAACTGCAGGCAAAAACTCATTCTCCGAAAAAAAAAAAGACTTTCTAAATATTTTATAGCAGAGGGAGAAAAAGACGACCTTCCAAATTGGTTCGCGGACTTTTCTTGCTGGATGCCATAGAGCTTGAAGGCAATACTGCAGTACTTTGATTGGGCCGAGCGATACGCGCATTGCATCACAAGCAAAAACAAATCTGGAATATTGCATACATCAAATTTCAACATGCAAAGAGAAGCAATATCACTGATAATAAAGAAAAAACCTACCGCTGTATTACATGTGGAGAATTTTCAAGCATATTCGGCCAAACATAATTGAAAATGTGGATTAACGCATCTTCACAGCCAAAACCATAAACGCCTAAAGTTAAATGCGCAACAGCATCCATTGCTATTTGTCGATGTACAATATCTCTGAAATAAATTGCAATGCAGTGTATATTTAGTAAAACATATCAATCAAGTTATATAGAAAATTCAACACTATGCATATGTAGAATTAGATATGTTCAAAATATAGAACTGAAATTTCAGGAATGAATATATTAAACCATTGCTAATCAAAACACTAAAGCAAGTAACTACATTTGCATGAAATAGAAACATAAACTTTTCAGTAAACTGCAATAGTTCAGAATAATTAAAGTGATATTCTATGCATAAAAATGAACAAAATTCCAAAGTTGACGTTTCGACCCACCTCTCCATTAAAGCATCCACTAAAAGAGGCGTAACTGCGTATATATAATCTTTGGCCATTTCTCCAATGTACTAAAGAAATTCATTACAATTAGACATGCAAAATTAATATAAAATCTTTAATTGGTAATATGAATATAAAGTCTTTACTTACTTATCCATCAACTAAGCTATATAGAGTTATATGAATTTAATACGTGCAAATATTTAACACACTGTACGTTACGCTAAATTGAGCTGAAGATACATTTTCAGGGTACTTTTTTAGGTCTTTTTGTGATGCCTCCGTTAAGAAATTGCAGCGATAGATTATCAAAATGTTCAAAATGAAAGAAATGAAATTTGATAAATTTATATAACAAAACCTCAAACATGAAGGACAGTGCTTTAAGAACACCATTCTGTACGTTGATCTCCGGAACTCGATACTCATTCATTATAGCTGGTAGCACAGTAAAAGGTGCACATGTTTCAGCGACAATAGCAATAGCAACTGTAGTGCATACACGAAGCTGGCGTTCTTGTACTTTCAGATTGTTAAGAAGTGTCGCCAAAACATCATGAGGTCCAATTGCCTGCAAACACATACACTAATAACCACAGGAGAAAAATTACTGGTCTAATATCTAAATAGAAAAACCTTATCCATTCTTCCGATTGTATGCAAAAACTCGTAATAAACTACATATAAACATATGTAGAGTACTAATAAGAGCAGAACAAAATAAAACGTACTATAATGTTTTTCTACTCAACAAATTTCAATAAAAGCAAACTTACGCTTCATATCCCCTAATATATCGGAAATTAAAACAAAATTAAATTCTAAATTTTGGATTCAATTTAAATGTAACATGAGATTTTTTGCTAAAAATTTTTTTTGGATGACTACAAAAATCGCACAGATCCCAACACGGCCGCTGGAACATATGCTGTACATCCACGTTCGGCTCAATTTCCACTGTCTCATTTGCACATTTAACTAAAATTTCAACTTAAAATTGCTATGATTTTGCTCTTCACAATACACGCATGCTACTTTGAACGATGAAAGACTATGATCAAAATTTTATGCAAGTGTACAAAGCATAGTTTTGCATCACAAGTCGACGAGCATCATTTCTCCATAACCTTGCTTTCTTTTCCTTCATAGTCCACTATTTTCTTCATGGGTGGCAAATACACAATTTCATTAGCTAGTAGAATGAGAAAACACTAATGGTTGTTTTAGACATTTCTCAGAATTTAGTAAAAAATTACTTTATCTTCGAACAAATTAGATCAAAAAAAAAGTATATTTTCCAAAATCGACAATCTTGCAAAATGAAAGCATCAAAACAACCGTTCGCAAAGTTGAGACATATTTCCGTTATCCAAGTAAAGGCCTAATCAAGCAATAAACAAATTCGTTACTTACCTTGGTGCACGCCGCTCGCAATACCAACGATCCGCATCAGTGGTGGTGGGCCCCTAAATTAAAGATAGCGGAGACGAAAAACCTAAACTTCCTTTTGGAGGACGTACGTCCGTCAACAAGATACTAAGCAGAATAAACAAGAAGGTAAAGGGGAGGCCTTCAAGGGATGGATTTAGAATAAAATAAGTTCTACGAGTTTTGTGCACCGTGTCGATGAAGGGCGACTGAGATCGATTTTCATATTTATAACAAAAAAAAAAAGCAAGTTTAACCTTTGCAATGTATCCAAAAGTATTAATTGCTGCACGACGAATCGACTTTTTATGAGCCTTCAGTAATTCCAATAATTCGAAACATATACGCATCCATTCTCGAGCTGACACAAACTCACTTCCACGATCAGCAATGCGACCAACCAGATCAATACAGTTTTCTTGTACTTTTTCATGCCTAGAAGATTTTTGATTTCACTATTGATTTTACTTAGGAAAATGAACAGAAAGCAGTTAACAAACGTAAAACGAACTGAAGCATTCAAAACTGTTAAAAAAAAAATCCCACTAAACTAATGATAAAATGACTCTGAATAATCGAAATGATATAACAGAGAAAGAGTCCCGACGACATAACACATCAATTGATGCATTATAACAATCACGATTTTTATAAAGCCAAACAGGTACCGATTCTTTAGAATTGGCGTTAAACGCGGCAGAAGGTCTTTAATTGGTGGTGTCATCTTTGTCATACCAATAACGTTAACAATTGCTTTCAGCGCACCCAGAATCGATCCCAGTACTTCCGGGTACTCTTCACCAAGATATTCATATAAAACAACACCTAAATGCCCCATAAGCTTCTCTTCTTGACAAATGTTCATCACTGGAGCAAGTTTAGCTATCTGCAATACTAACCACCAATATTTCATTATAATTATAAATGAAAAAATACATAAGATTCAGAAGTTCTTGTTCATTTTAGAGTTTCTTATTTAGAAGAAGTATAACGATCTTTTCAAAATGAATGAGTAGTGTAGATAAAACAATCAGAAGAAGCAATATCACAGCATAGTCAACAACTTTCATATCATTTTAACAGAAAAATGATCAGAAACGTACCAAATCAGCAGCCTGTTGTCGAACTTTAGCAGATTTATTATTAAGACGCCACAATATAGTACCACAGATCTGAGGAAGGTATGGTTTTGTACGCCGACCCAAACCTTTACAAACTGTACCAAATCCGTCCAGCATTACTGCATCCTAAAAAGTGTAGCATAAAATAACGGCAGATCTCATAAATCCAAGTGGCAATATTGAAGCAGAACAAACCTCTTGCGTTTGCTCTTGAAAGGCATACACAATACCATCTATAAGCTGTTCCTCCAAACGTGCATCGATTTCATTAGCTCCCATCAGTGAGACAATATTTTCAATTGTTTCCATAACCATCTTCCGATACAATTCATTTTCATCTTTCAGATCATCTACTATTCGTGCGATCATTTCCGCTGAACCTACCTTGAAATAAAATATTATTGTAATATTCCAATACCAGTCATTATTTAAGTTCTCTATACAAAACTCATTTTTCTTTGCCAATTCATGTG